ATGTGTTCCACTTGATAAAGTGGTATTATACGTTGAATAGTACATAATAACAGTATATTCATGATGTTACCAGTGGCAAAGCAGATGTGTTGGCAGTTCCTGTCTACCCAGCACCTGTGGGCTCAGGTTGTGATAGACTAGCTGTCTTTAGGCTGTCTCTGTGCTCTCTCTGTCATCCATGCTATAGAGTAGAGTGCTGCCTCAGGCCTGGGGTTGTTGTTGGGCCCCTGAGAGCTATGAGCTTGGGTCAGGACCTGTGATAACTCTCTTCCAGAGCACATCAATCCAGCCCCTCAGACACATCCAGCCCACATTCATAGTAGTCCTGTACATGGTTAAACATATATTACTCCCACATTCATTCTATATAAACACACACATTTACAATATATAGGAAATGTAAGGGAGTCGGGGCAAGGGACGGGAATATTGGGAGCCAGTGATGAGATTCAACACAAGGACATGGCCAGTCTGTCCACTAATCACTATTGCTCATCAGGTGGCTGTATGGCGTAATGGTCGGTGTCTGTGAGACAGACGCTAACCCCAGCGCTTGCTACATTATCTGTTTACAGTAATGCTGCCGTATTGATCGCCTCCTCTCAGATAAGCTGAGTGATTTACAAAAAAGTCAACTGCAGAGTCGGAGATGCTTCAGCAATATTACTCCCCTGGGAGGCCCACTCCTACTTGTTACCATTCCATTAATGAGCTAATGTCCCTGTGTAACCCTGTGGCCGCTGGATCCATGTCTAGACTAGCAGAGCAACAACTCTCATTAACAGAAATATAACACAGTATATATAATATACCAGAGATTTTAACCTGCAAAGTCATCCATAAACCAAATGGGCTTGCGTGTGAAGATTATCCTTAATTGGTCTCCACCTGGAGAGTAATTTAGTTGTTTTGTAAAATAATTAATCATTTAGATTACCTTTATCACACTCTTACTGTTAAAATTGCATATTCAAATCTCAGGGTGAGGGAGTATTGTTGAGAAAAAAGAAGAAACCTGCACACTGCTCTTGCTAGTATCACTGCTCTTTATTAAGCTTTACGTATCGGCCTCAAGGCCTTCGTCAGAGCCGATATTTAAAGCTTAATAAAGAGCAGTGATACTAGCAAGAGCAGTGTGCAGGTTTCTTCTTTTTTTCTCATCTAATTCAACTGTTGCCATGCACCTGCAGCAGAGAGAGCTCAGATATACGAGTGCCTTTTTGAATTTTGAGGGTGTATTGTTAAAAATTCTCCAACAATGGATGTATATTATTTCTGTATTGGATCAGTGCAGTGCAAGTGTGAGCCCTACTCTGTGTGAATGTGTTTGCTCTGTGTGATTCTGAGAGGAGAGTGTGTTGTGTTCCCTTGGGGAGGAGGGGGCAGAGCTGTCTAAAACAAGCTGTAAATGATCACAGATCCTCACCAGGCAAAACCACAGCTCTGCTCTCTCTGCCTCTGGAGACACTTATCTTCAGCATCATTATTATTATATGGTGAGAAAATGTTTTGCCCCAGTCTGGAGGGGGGGGGGGGGTAAACAGAAATGCCATTCTGGCCATGTTTTAAAACTTTACTAGCATATCCTTCCTCACTTTGGGGAAATCCCTCCATGATTTAACTTGCAAAAGCAAAGTTTCCACATCACTACTTTAACAAATCTGACACTTCTCAGATGTGTAATTATGTCAAGGAAAGATGGATGCATTCTTCAAGTATTCCAACCTTGTCAACTACTGTGTGGGGCGGCAGGTAGCTTAGTGGTTAAGAGCGTTGTGCCAGTAACCGAAAGGTCGCTGGTTCTAATCCCCGAGCCGACTAGGGTGAAAAATCTGTCGATGTGCCCTTGAGCAAGGCACTTAACCCTAATTGCTCCTGTAAGTCGCTCTGCATAAGAGCGTCTGCTAAATGACTAAAAATGTAAAAAATGTAAAAATGTTGATGGGACATGTCCCTGTGTCTCCCAGTAGGGGTCACTGGGGAGTAGAGCGGGAGAGAGACAGGACTGGGGCGAGTTTTTCCCAGTTATATCTGGGCTCAGCACAAGAGAAGAGAAGCCAGCATCAGAACAGACCGACTGACCCACCCGAAGGGCTGAAGAGGCGGTCGTATAACTTTGAAGACACTTGATGATACAATTCAATATGACTGTGGTATCTGTTTTATCTAAGTGATGTTAAGTGGAACAGGGGCCCCTGTCCTACCACATTGAAAATGAAACAGGCTTATTTTTAAGCTTTATAGTTTTAGAGAGAGGTCTTAAGTCCAGTGACACTGCTATGCTAGGACACGGCATGTTAAAACACTATTGTAGTTAGTTACCTACCTCTGTCACATGACTGAGTGTATGCTGTGAAATCAAAGCTGCTACCTGAGGTTTCATTTCAGGATGTCGTTATATGGTGTGAGTGTTTGCTTGCCTGTGTGTGTGATGCATTGAAGGCTCATCAGATTTCTCCCATTTCATACCCAGCCAGTGTGGAACGTCTTGGAAGCACTCAGGGTATCGGAAAGATCAACAGAAGAATCAAATTAAGTGTCATTTAGATAGCAGTGAATGAAGGGATTGTTTGACAGCACCAGGAAATGGATTTGCTCCTCACCTTGTTTTTTGGCTTAGGGTTAGTTTTCTTTCCATGAACACACATATTCCCTGTTGAAAAGCAGGGATTCAACCTGATCTGGAAGTTGGTCAGATTTCTGCAGCATTGCCATGGTCAGGCCTGACTGGGCACATAGGAAAAGCACTGAGATGTTGGGAAACGTGAGCTTGAGGTTCAGGTGGAACGATCTCCTGCTTGATAACCCAGTGACAAAAAGCATAAAGAGTCTTTTACATGGTTGATGTCCTATTATCTTGCAAGAACGGAAGACTTCTGAAAATTGGAAACATCTACCTGTAAGGGGAGTCTACCTGGTATTTTCCCAGTACCCTAAACTATTATGCTGTTTCTGTTGTGTTTTTATGTCACTAAGAAAATACTTATAAATACTCTTGAGCCCTAAGTGTCTCCTGGGATTTTGGAGCAGTACTATACTATGGGGAGGGGTCCTGACCTTCGCTCTAATTTTTCCCTTCCCAGCCATCTGTCTATCAGCCGCTGGGATACTCTATGGATTTTGGGATGGTTTAAACTTAATAGTTTTAATTCAGCCACAGAGATCAGTGACACTCCCAATCCCCCAGCCCCCTTGTCATGTCCGAGCCTGTCGGCCACCCACGGTGATCCCCACAGGGCTGCATGGTGTAGGGTTGTCCCAGGGGGCTGGCCCAGAATACAGTGTGCTCCAGTCCAGTCTGTGTGTCTTTAGTCTCTATCTAGCCCTCTACAGTAGCTCCTGGCCTGAGGTGGCTGTGTGTGTCTATAGACTCATCAGAACAGGACAGGAGGGTGGTCTGCTGTGGCCGGCCGTCTCAGGTTAAGCAGTTTAGAGTAGGTTAGCAGATTGCACTGCTAATTATCTACATCTCTCCAGGCTTCTTCCCTCTCTCCTCTCACCTATTTCCTATCTCTCTCTCTTGCTCTACCCAACCAGTCAGTATGGGCCATCAGTGGAACCTAATCCCGCGTCTACAAAATAAGGTTTCATTAATCCCAGATTAACAATGTGTCCCATTGTATCTCCCGCTGGGTGTAGTCTGGCGGTTGGTGCTGGCACCAAATCCTCGGGTCCGGCAGTGGGCGTGGCATGCTGTCAAATGAGTGCCCAGAGCTGTGTAGGTGGAGGAATGCTGCCTGTTAGGATGGACTGGCATGCGTAGGTCATCCAACGCTGCCTACATAGTGCATGGGTAACACAAGACGGAATAGCATGGCACTTTACCAAATTGCTTCTCAAAATCTTTGACATCAAGGGGCCACAGCGACAGATTCCAGGGACAGGGATGATATCAGGTGTCATGCTAATCAAGCTCAATTAGGTAGGGGGGAGCTAAAGATAGATCACCGAGATTGCTCATTGTATGAGCTGCTGTAAGGACATTACTCAAGCGTGCCGCTGACAGTCGCCATTTGTTTAGAGGGCCTAAAACATGCCTGATTAGCTGTGTTACAAAGTAATTGCATGCTCATTACATGAGCAGTTGACTGAGTCGATTGTGAAAAGTCAGTGGAAGTTCATGACTCCAGATCTGACTCTGGTTGAGAGTGTGGTGATTAGGGTTGCAAAGCTACCGGTAATTTACCAAAGTGAGTGTGCAAAGCTGTCATCAAAGGGTGGCTACTTTGAAGAATCTCAGATATAAAATATATATCTTGATTTGTTTAACACTTATTTGGTTACTACATGATTCCATATGTGTTATTTCATAGTTTTGATGTCTTCACTATTATTCTACAATGTAGAAAATAGTAAAAATAAAGAAAAACCCTTGAATGAGTAGGTGTGTCCAAACCTTGGACTGGTACTGTATATATAAAGGATATATCATGCTGAAACCCACATATTAAACACCAATGGTATTCACTAAGTTGATGGTTTATATTTAGGATAATGTTTTACAGCTTTGTCATTCTATTTTTTTATTTTAAAAACCTTATTTTATTATTGTATATATTGTACATGTGACGAGGCCAAACAGAAGGCCAAAGATAATTATTCACCTATGATAATCTGAAGTACCCAAAAGGGCCATTAGATGTCTTGTGATAAATAACATTAAATCCTTGAAAGTTACCACAATTCTGGGAGTTTACTGGTTAATGTTCAAAGGTTTCCAGTAATATACCCTCCCTTTGCAAACCTGGTGGTGATTCTAATTGGAATGGAATTCAGTACTAAAATCATCAATATAATATAATAAAAAATAGATGAAGTGTTATAAAATGAAATGTGCATTCTATATAGTTAGATGGAACATTTTCGGCATACATTTGCCATGTTAACTTTTACAGCAACATTTCGCTTTAGATCCATCTTATTTCCTCTCACATGGGTTTGTGTAGAGAATGGAAGCAGTCGACGGCTGTTTTTCTCCTTAATAAGATTAGAGTAGATAAATGAGGGATGTGCCCTTTAATCTGCTGGTTAAGAGTGGCAGCCACCTGGGGACTGGCCTGTCCCCCCAACTCCCCTACATGGATAAAGACATTCTGGGCAGGGAAACCTCCACTTACACGTGGGTAAAACCAGGGTTATGGTTGACAGGTTATTATGGACACTGTGAAGATGGTGTATGCCTAATTCATTTCAAGCGTTGCTTTTGTAGCCTAATATTTACAAGATATTTTATAAATATTGACCTTACATTTTTTGAAAGGTTATCGTTCATCTTCCATTTATGACTGCTCTCATGCTAACGTCTTATAGATTTCCGAGGCCTTTTCATGTCAAAGCTTGTAACAGGGTCAGCCCAACCCTGTCATTTTACCTTTCCCAGGTTATCTGACACCCTGCTGTTGCGTCTTGTTTAATTCAATAAGGACACCTTACATTCCATCACAGTACCTGAAGGACTCTTCATCTGAAATGGCTTTTCTCCCCACTGAGTCAGGCATGGGAATGACAATAGCTTGGTTTCATCTCTGTATGTTATTCTTTCTAGTACTTTTCTATCTGCATTGTTGGTAAGGGCCCGTAAGTAAGCATTTCACTCTTAGTCTACACCTGTTGTTTACTAAGCATGTGACAAATAACATTTAATTTGATATGGACGTATTAAAAGCAGCACAGCATCGGACTGAGAGGAAAACTAGTATTTCATTCAATTGCTGCAGACTTTTCAATGATGGTGGAATTATGTCAGTGAAGCTGACTTCTTGCCGAGTTACTCAATCATGGATCTGTTATTTTTCTTCGGGGGGGGGGGGGGGGGATCAATCAGGCAGGCAGCTCCGGTGCTGGTCGGCTACTTCACTCTGGCCCAATAGAGGTTGTGTTATCGTTCCACTCAATCATGATGGCTGCCTTATCCTACTCACTCCATTTCAATACTATTAATGGACTTTATATCAATATAATATAATTAATGTGTTTTTGTGCTTTACAAGTAAACAGATCTCAAAGTAGTGATTGGCAGAAACAGGGATCAACACACGCGTCTTTTTGGTTTGGTTTGTGTTTTCTCAGGAATGTGTTGATAAATGGTGGTGGAAAAGACCCAAACATTTTATTTGGCTAGAAAGCTTATACACATATGGTATATGATACCCATACAGGAAGATGCTTACTGTAAAAATGTTGTTTAGTAAGCAAGCTTGGCGTGCTTAACCAGACCTTGATGGACTATTTGGAAACGTTCCCATAACTCATAATGTAATACTTCTCACATTATCACCGCATTCTATGTCTGACAGCTTTACACTACAATGTCAATTATGATATGGAGCAAATGACAGATCTGCCCACTAGCATATGAAACAATTAGAATATTTTGGTCACGAGGAAGTTATTGACAGACCTATCCACCTAGGCCTATATCAGTCTCTGCTATTTTCTCTCTATATGCCAACTAGGTTGGAGTGGAAATGCGTTGCAGATGTGAAGGTTGCAGTAGATATCAAAATGTTTACCAGTTGAAATAAACATGGCCTACTTTAGAATAGGAAAGCCAGATTCCATTCTTCCTCAGAGCAGATAGGACACGCCACTCTGCTATTGGCTAAAATATACAGTTGTCAGAAAATATTAACTGATGAAAGAAGGGCGAGGGAGAGCAGCAGTCACAGCAGAATGATTCATCAGTTATCTGTAGCATTAATCGTCTCTGGGCCTTGTTTAAAGCAGACATAATACAGAGGCATGTTCCGCTCACTACTCTGCTCTGCCTGGCCATAGCCTGGGGCCCTGAGCTGAGGAGCTGCTGAGAGGAATGGCCTTATCTCCACAGAGGAAACACTGCAGGATATGACTCCAGATTGGACTGCCTGGCACTGTGATTGCAGATTGCATCCAGCAGCTTCTCTGGTTATGCAGATCTCTTGTCTTATTACTGTCCCACTCTGGATAATGAGGTAGTTGAACTAGTGAGGTAGTCTCGTTGTAAGCATAAGTAGTAGTTGATATAACTGGGTTCCTGAATTTTGCTTTCCGTCTCTTGCTGTCAGTGATGTATATGCTTTCAACCCTACCAAAGATAAAACTACCTTTTTAAGGAACCACAAATTTGGTGTAGTTCGTTTGTTCTCAAGTGATCAGGAAACCAATGTCAATTCCCGCGGATAAACTCCTACACTGTAACTCTAGTGTTGTTTTAAATGAGCTGTATAGAGGGCAACATTCTGCCTTGAACTATTTTGTTTTACTTGTGACAAGTGATTCATCTTGTTCTCCATCTGGCTTTCTCTCTCTGTCCTCTCAGGTCTCTATGTGCTGCTATAAACACCTACTATCTGGCATGCTCTCGCTGCCACCTCAACTGCACCTATGTTCTCTTCAGCAACAAGATAACCTTCCTCATGGACCTGCTGCTACATCAGCTCACAGTAAGTGTCCTTTCACCACACCATAGAAAACATATCCAATTATTACCATTATTGATATGATAACATTACATAAAATATATGTTCTCTCAAACAACACATGTATTATTTTTACATGAGTCATTAAACTCTGTGTGATACTTATGAAGGTGACATGGCATGATCAGAACTGCGGCTAGTTTACCCAAGGACCAGGCTGTTTAATGAATCCCTTCCAATGTCTCTGTAAATTCTCCTGACTACATGCAACACTTAAGTGCTGAAAAACTAGGACCTCCGCCAGCATTTGTTCCTTCCTGGCACTGTGTTAATAAAAGACAGAGAGAGACACACGCTACAGTACAAATCCTGGCCCAGGCAAAGGCTCAGCCACGCAGATTAGGGAATGAGAGAGGGAAAGAGCAGTCTGGCAGGGAGGCAATATGGCGGCTGGGTTACCTGTCAGCCCATATCCTTCAGCGCTCTCTTAGACTGTAAACATCAGCCGACTCCAAACATCTAACGGTGGCGGCTGCACACTGCACAGACCGGACAAGGCACAGACATGGGCTTTGCTACATGCATGAACTCTACTGGGGCTTCCTTTTCCAGCCCTGAGTTCCAATCCAAAGCTGTCATATTTCCTGAGGGCACAGAGGGGGAGATTAGCCTGTACGCTTCAGTTTATATAAAACATATCCCCACAACTGCCGACTGACATGTTGAATAGCACAATGCTAACTTTTCTAGTTGTGTTGGATACTGACGAAGATGGGGCTCATGAATAGTCCATGTAAAAATGTGTGTGTGCACATGCGTGTGTTTGTGTTTGGAAGTGGGTGGGGGTAGCGAGTGCCGCCGTCGGTGCTTGTCCCTCTTTAATTAGATTTGTGGAGAATGTTGGTGGATTTACTAACGCTGTCAGCATGCTGCCCTAACCATTAGTTTAAATGAGATGTTTTCAGACGTTTTACCTGACCATCTCCTTATTTCTACAACTAAACCTTAACCTCTACACACACACACCAAAATGTCACTTACAGTTCCTTCAGAAAGTATTCACACCCCTGGACTTTTTCCACATTTTGTTGTTTCAGCCTGAATTTAAAATTACATTTAGATGTCACTGGCCTGCACACTACCCCATAATGTGAAAGTGGAATTGTGTTTTTTGAAATTTTTACAAATTCATTAAAAATGAAAAGCTAAAATGTCTTGAGTCAATAAGTATTAAACCCCTTTTTTATGGCAAGCCTAAATAAGTTTAGGAGTAAAAATGTGCCTAACAAGTCACATAATAGGTTGCATGGACTCACTCTGTTTGCAATAATAGTGTTTAACATGATTTTTTTTAATGACTACCTCATCTCTGTACCCCACACATACAATTATCTGTGAAGTCCCTCGGTTGAGCAGTGAATTTCAACCACAAAGACCAGGAAGGTTTTCCAATGCCTCGCAAAGAAGGGCACCTATTGGTAGATGGATTAAAAAATAAAAAAGCTGACATTGAATATCCCTTTGAGCATGGTGAAGTTATTAATAACACTTTGGATGGTGTATCAATACACCCAGTCACTACAACGACCTAACTCAGTTGCCGGAGAGGACGGAAACCACTTAGGGATTTCATCATGTGGCCAATGGTGACTTTAAAACAGTTGCAGAGATGAATGGCTGTGATCGGAGAAACTGAGAATGGACCAACAACATTGTAGTTAATCCACAATACTAGCCTAGTTGACAGAGTAAAAAGAAGGAAGCCTGTACAAAATTGAGTGTGTTGGAGTATGTGAGTATGTGCGTGTGTGTTTGTCCAGCATCTGTTGTGCGGGGATGGGGATGTTGGGGGGGAGGGGGTGGGGGGTATGGGATGGACCACGGGAATTATTTGCTAGGATAATAATTGCTTGTCAATGAATTAAATTTAATACAATGGCAAACCGGGTTATATGTTAAAATCCTACACATGAACTGCCAACATTATTACGCATATTAATTGATAATGATGGAAAATAGGATATGCATAATTTTTTTAAATAGTTATATAGAGAGAGAGAGAGGTGACAGCATTGGAAATGCTTTTGGCGGTTAATCTGCTTCTGTTTTTGTGGGTGGCACTGTGTGCTGTTTTCGATGGATGGGTCTTGGCCTCTCGGGGCCTTAGGGATCCGGAGGGACGTGGGTGGGATGCTGATCACTGGGATGACGGCTCAACTTGGGATGGGGAGGGGCTTTAGCGGGGGAATTAGTGGAGAACAATTGAAGGGTTACTCCGTAGCAATGCAAATATCACGGTACAGCTACAGTGGGGAGAACAAGTATTTGATACACTGCCGATTTTGCAGGTTTTCCTACTTACAAAGCATGTAGAGGTCTGTAATTTTTATCCTAGGTACACTTCAACTGTGAGAGACGGAATCTAAAACAAAAATCCAGAAAATCACATTGTATGATTTTTAAGTAATTAATTTGCATTTTATTGCATGACATAAGTATTTGATCACCTACCAACCAGTAAGAATTCCGGCTCTCACAGACCTGTTAGTTTTTCTTTAAGAAGCCCTCCTGTTCTCCACTCATTACCTGTATTAACTGCACCTGTTTGAACTCGTTACCTGTATAAAAGACACCTGTCCACACACTCAATCAAACAGACTCCAACCTCTCCACAATGGCCAAGACCAGAGAGCTGTGTAAGGACATCAGGGATAAAATTGTAGACCTGCACAAGGCTGGGATGGGCTACAGGACAATAGGCAAGCAGCTTGGTGAGAAGGCAACAACTGTTGGCGCAATTATTAGAAAATGGAAGAAGTTCAAGATGACGGTCAATCACCCTCGGTCTGGGGCTCCATGCAAGATCTCACCTCGTGGGGCATCAATGATCATGAGGAAGGTGAGGGATCAGCCCAGAACTACACGGCAGGACCTGGTCAATGACCTGAAAAGAGCTGGGACCACAGTCTCAAAGAAAACCATTAGTAACACACTATGCCGTCATGGATTAAAATCCTGCAGCGCACGCAAGGTTCCCCTGCTCAAGCCAGCGCATGTCCAGGCCCGTCTGAAGTTTGCCAATGACCATCTGGATGATCCAGAGGAGGAATGGGAGAAGGTCATGTGGTCTGATGAGACAAAAGTAGAGCTTTTTGGTCTAAACTCCACTCGCCGTGTTTGGAGGAAGAAGAAGGATGAGTACAACCCCGAGAACACCATCTCAACCGTGAAGCATGGAGGTGGAAACATCATTCTTTGGGGATGCTTTTCTGCAAAGGGGACAGGATGACTGCACCGTATTGAGGGGAGGATGGATGGGGCCATGTATCGCGAGATCTTGGCCAACAACCTCCTTCCCTCAGTAAGAGCATTGAAGATAGGTCGTGGCTGGGTCTTCCAGCATGACAACGACCCGAAACACACAGCCAGGGCAACTAAGGAGTGGCTCCGTAAGAAGCATCTCAAGGTCCTGGAGTGGCCTAGCCAGTCTCCAGACCTGAACCCAATAGAAAATCTTTGGAGGGAGCTGAAAGTCTGTATTGCCCAGCGACAGCCCCGAAACCTGAAGGATCTGGAGAAGGTCTGTATGGAGGAGTGGGCCAAAATCCCTGCTGCAGTGTGTGCAAACCTGGTCAAGACCTACAGGAAACGTATGATCTCTGTAATTGCAAACAAAGGTTTCTGTACCAAATATAAAATTATGCTTTTCTGATGTATCAAATACTTATGTCATGCAATAAAATGCAAATTAATTACTTAAAATCATACAATGTGATTTTCTGGATTTTTGTTTTAGATTCCGTCTCTCACAGTTGAAGTGTACCTATGATAAAAATTACAGACCTCTACATGCTTTGTAAGTAGGAAAACCTGCAAAATTGGCAGTGTATCAAATACTTGTTCTCCCCACTGTATATGGACACTCAATCATTACGGTATTTTTTATTGGTAAATTTACAAACATATATAATGATAAATAGACTTGAAACTTGTATCTCATTATGGTGTATGGTGAAATAAGTATAGCCAGTTATAATTGTAATGGCTTAGCTGATAATAACAAAAGAAGAACAATATTTACATGGCTCAAAGAGAAGGAATATAATATCTATTGTATACAGGAAACTCATTCAACAATTCGAGATGAAGTTGCGTGGAAAAAATAATGGGGGGGGGGGGGGAATTCAAAAGGGGTGATGATATTAATTAATAGTAATTTCGATCCGAATGTGCAAATTGTCCAAATAGATACGCAAGGTAGATGGATTATTTTTAATATGTTATTGGACCATAAACAGATATGGCTCGTTAACCTTTACGAACCAAATAATGATGATCCACAATTCTTTGACAATATATATAATAAATTATCAACCCTGCTAGCAATTCAAGACAATATTATTATGGTGGGGGATTATAATACTGTTTTAAATAGCTCAATGGACCGTAAAGGAAATCACACCACAAACGATCACCCACATGCTCTTAAGGAAATGGTGAATGTCATGGATACATTTGAACTAGTAGATACAGTGGGGGAAAAAAGTATTTAGTCAGCCACCAATTGTGCAAGTTCTCCCACTTAAAAAGATGAGAGAGGCCTGTAATTTTCATCATAGGTACACGTCAACTATGACAGACAAATTGAGATTTTTTTTCTCCAGAAAATCACATTGTAGGATTTTTAATGAATTTATTTGCTAATTATGGTGGAAAATAGTATTTGGGCACCTACAAAACAGCAAGATTTCTGGCTCTCACAGACCCTGGTACACTTCTTCTTCTTAAAGGCTCCTCTGGTCCTGGCCACTCTGCTACCTGTATTAATGGCACCTGTTTGGAACTGTTGATCAATATAAAAGGAACCCTGTCCACATCCTCAAAACAGTTCCACACTTCCAAAACCCACTATGGCCAAGACAAAGAGCTGGTCAAAAGGGACACCAGATAACAAAATTGTAGAACCGTGACACCCAGGTCGGGAAGACTGAATCTGCAATCGGGAGGCAGCTTGGTTTTGAAGAAATCAACTGTGGGACGCAATTTATTAGTGAAATGGAAGACATACAAAGACCCACTTGATAATCCTCCCTCGATCTGGGGCTCCACGCAAGAATCCTCACCCCGTGGGGTCAAAATCCTGCAGTGCCAAGACGTTGTCCCCCGGCTTAACCAGTACATGTCCAGGCCCGTTCTGAAGGTTGTTGCTCGAGTGCATTTGGAGATCCAGAAGAGGATTGGGAGAATGTCATATGGTCAGATGAAACCAAAATATAACTTTTTGGTAAACACTCAACTCGTCGTGTTTGGAGGACAAAGAATGCTGAGTTGCATCCAAAGAACACCATACCTACTGTGAAGCATGGGGGTGGAAACATCATGCTTTGGGGCTGTTTTTTTAGCAAAGGGACCAGAACGACTGATCCGTGTAAAGGAAAGAATGAATGGGGTCATGTATCGTGAGATTTTGAGTGAAAACCTCCTTCCATCAGCAAGGGCATTGAAGATGAAACGTGGCTGGGTCTTTCAGCATGACAATGATCCCAAACACACCGCCCGGGCAACGAAGGAGTGGCTTCGTAAGAAGCATTTCAAGGTCCTGGAGTGGCCTAGCCAGTCTCCAGATCTCAACCCCATAGAAAATCTTTGGAGGGAGTTGAAAGTCCGTGTTGACCAGCGACAGCCCCAAAACATCACTGCTCTAGAGGAGATCTGCATAGAGGAATGGGCCAAAATACCAGCAACAGTGTGTGAAAACCTTGTGAAGACTTACAGAAAACGTTTGACCTGTGTCATTGCCAACAAAGGGTATATAACAAAGTATTGAGAAACTTTTGTTATTGACCAAATACTTATTTTCCACCATAATTTGCAAATAAATTCATTAAAAATCCTACAATGTGATTTTCTGGATTTTTTCTCTCTCAATTTGTCTGTCATAGTTGACGTGTACCTATGATGAAAATTACAGGCCTCTCTCATCTTTTTAAGTGGGAGAACTTGCACAAATGGTGGCTGACTAAATACTTTTTTCCCCACTGTATATGGAGGCTTAAATATACTGATCTAGTGAGATATACATGGCGGAGACTGAATCAAGCTAGTCGTCTTGACTTCTTTATCTCATTCTCGGTGGCACCAAAAGTAAAAAAAAAAAGTGTTGATAGGGGACAGAATGCGGTCGGACCATCATATAATAGGCATATACATTACTCTTACTGAATTTCCACGTGGGCGAGGATATTGGAAATTTAATCAAAGCCTATTGGATGATAATTTATTTATAATTAGAACAAAGGAATTTATAACTGACTTTTTCCAACATAACATAGGTACAGAAAATCCCCTTATTGTATGGGATACCTTTTAAATGTGCCTTTAGAGGCCATGCAATTCAGGACTCATCTCGAAAACAAAAGCAATTTAGGTCAAAAGAGTTTATACTAACAAAGGAAATAGAAAGTCTAACAGAACAGATAGATGGCGGTAAAAACAGTAACATAGAGGCTCAGAATAAATTAGAGGAAAAACAAAAAGAAATGGAGAAACTTATTCAAGAAAGATCAAGTGTAATATATTATAAAAATAAAGCAAACTGGATGGAATATGGGGAAAAATGCACAAAATTATTTTTTAATCTTCAACATAGGAATGCTACCAAAAAGAACTTAATGAAACTGGTTACAATTGACGGAGTCACCCATGATTCACCAAATTATATTTTGAAGGAGGAAACAAAGTACTTTAAGCATATGTTTTCTTTTCAGTCGCCTCCATCTCCTCTAACTGAAGCTAATTGTAGAGATTTTTTTTCTATTGATAATGTCAAATTAACAGCCATACAGAAAGACTCATGTGAAGGTGAAATTACAGAGGAGGAACTTCTGGATGCAATTAAATACTTTAAGTCTGGGAAAACTCCAGAGTTGGATGGCATACCAGTCGAGGTATACCAAACCTTTTTTGATATACTAAGAGGACCGTTATTAGCATGTTTTAACCACTCCTATGTAAATGGTATATTATCTGACACTCAAGAAGAAGGTCTGATCTCATTATTACTGAAACAGGATACAAGTGGAAAATATAAAGATCCAGTCCATTTACAAAATTGGAGGCCCCTTACACTTCAGTGTTGTGATGCAAAAATTCTAGCAAAATGTATAGCGCATAGAATTAAAAAGGTATTGTCGGATATTATTCATTCTAATCAGACAGGTTTTTTACATGGAAGATACATTGGAGATAATATAAGGCAAGTATTGGAGACAATAGAACACTATGGAAAATATGGGAAACCAGGCCTGCTATTCATAGCAGACTTCGAAAAGGCATTTGATAAAGTTCGACTGGGGTTTATATATAAATGCCTGGAGCATTTCAATTTTGGAGAATCTCTTATAAAATGGGTCAAAATCATGTATAGTAACCCTAGGTGTAAAATAGTAAATAATGGCTATTTCTCAGAAAGTTTTAAACTGTCAAGAGGAGTGAAACAAGGTTGTCCACTATCGGCATATCTATTTATTGTGGCCATCGAGATGTTAGCTATTAAAATCAGATCCAATATTAATATCAGAGGATTAGAAATCCAGGGTTTAAAAACAAAGGTGTCATTGTATGCTGATGATTCATGTTTTCTTTTAAATCCACAACTAGAATCCCTCCACAGCCTCATAGAGGATCTAGATACATTTTCTAACCTCTCTGGATTACAACCAAATTATGACAAATGTACTATATTACGTATTGGATCACAAAAAAATACAAAATTTACATGACCATGTAGTTTACCAATAAAATGGTCTGATGGTGATGTGGATATACTCGGAATACATATCCCAAAGGAAATAAATGATCTCACTTCAATAAATTTTTATAGAAAGTTAGCAAAAATAGATAAGATCTTGCTACCATGGAAAGGTAAATACCTGTCAATTTGTTGAAAAATCACCCTGATTAACTCTTTAGTATTATCCCAGTTTACCTATTTGCTTATGGTCTTGCCTACGCCTAGCGAACAGTTTTTTAAATTATATGAGAAAAAAATATTCTATTTTATTTGGAACGGCAAGCCAGACAAAATTAAAAGGGCATATTTATATAATGAATATGAATTCGGAGGACAGAAATTATTAAATATTAAAGCATTAGACATATCACTAAAAGCTTCAGTCATACAAAAGTTATACATAAATCCGAACAGGTGCTCAAGTAAATTAGTAAGATTGTCTCACCCAATGTTCAAGAAAGGCCTTTTTCCCTTTATTCAGATTACAACAACTCATTTTCAGTTATTTGAAAAGGAAATCATCTCCCCAAAAAAACAGTTGCAGAGATGAATGGCTGTGATCGGAGAAACTGAGAATGGACCAACAACATTGTAGTTAATCCACAATACTAGCCTAGTTGACAGAGTAAAAAGAAGGAAGCCGGTACAAAATTAAATAAAGATGAATTCACCTTTCAGCAGGACAATAACCTAATGTTCCTGAGTGGCCGAGTTACAGTTTTGACTTAAATCTGCTTGAAAATCTGTGGCAAGACATGAAAATGGTTGTCTAGCAGTTTGACAGAGCTTGAAGAATTTTGAAAATAATTATGGGCAAATGTTGCACAATCCAGGTGTAAAAAGCTCACAACTGTAATTGCTTCCGAAGGTGCTTCTACAAAGTATTGACTGTGAATACTTTTGTAAATGAGATTTCTTTTTCAATTAATTTGCAAAACATTCTAAAAACATGTTTTCACTTTGTCATTATTGGTTATTGTGTGTAGATGGGTGTGAAAAATATATATTTAATCAATTTTGAATTCAGGCTGTAACACAACAAAATGAGGAATAAGTCCAGGGGTATGAATACTTTCTGAAGGCACTGTATCTAAAAGTGGAAATGCACTCTGTGCTACTGTCACAGGAACGCCATACCTTGTAGGGCTGAGAATTGCCAGGGATGTAACGGTATGATATTATCACGATACTTAGGTACTAATACGATATGTATTGCAATTCGATACTGTGATTTTATTGTGATTTTATGTTACAACCAATTGCTCACCATATGTCTGCTGGAGAGATAAGAGAGAGCATGAGAAAACGAGTTTTGATCAGTCAGTGAAATAAGTGCTGAAAACATGTTGGCTCACTATTTAAAAAGAAGAGCTATAGGATGAAAAATACCGGAGTTTTGGCACACGTACACCCAACTAGCGCTAGCTACTGCTACCTACAGTACAAATCGATTTGAGCCAAATATCGATATATCGTTCAAAAATAATATTGCGATATGTAACTATCGATTCAATAGAAAAACAAGAAATGCAGCTAGTTTGCTGTCATTCCAGCTTCAGTTTAAAGTCATTGTGTTAGCTGTGTAGTTGGCTATCTCTTCTGAACAGTGGCCTGGCGAGAGAGCAAATGTTCTATGCCAGGCGAAATCGCGCATCATTAGCTCATGTAATGGGGGTATCCCAAAAAAAGTAACTAGAAAACAGCTTAAACAAACACAAATGCAGCTATTTTGCTGTTATTCTGGCTGCACTGTTTGATGTGACTGTGTTAGCCAAAGTTGACTAGCTAGCAAGCAAGGGATAAGAACGTTGCCAGCCTTCATGGCAACGGAACATTTAGAACAAACGACTGTGTCCCATCCATAGATTTAGAACTAAAAGTCTTAACGACTGGGTCGCGTCTCTGGAAACCGAACCGATAGAACGAACGACCTGCCGGCTTGGGTAGTAACCCTAGATTTGTGTCTGAACTTTATCTCGTGGAAGGATGAAATAGTATGAATGAATTCATAAAAATTACGTTTTTAATGAAAATATGTCAATCATTATTTGAATATGTTGGTAACCCGTTGTATAAAAGTGATAATGCCCTCTAAGCCGGTGTTTGGAGGATATATTGGCACGGTTTGCCAGCACTCGACTTCGTCTCGGGCCTAACAACACCCGTGCCAATATACAGTTGAAGTCGGAAGTTTACATACACTTAGGTTGGGAGTCCTAAAAACTCGTTTTCAAACACTCCACAAATTTCTTGTTAACAAAACTATAGTTTTGGCAAGTTGGTTAGGACATCTACTTTGTGCATGACACAAGTCATTTTTCCAACAATTGTTTACAGACCGATTATTTCACTTATAATTCACTGTATCATAATTCCAGTGGGTCAGAAGTTTACATACACTAAGTTGACTGTGCCTTTTAAACAGCTTGGAAAATTCCAGAAAATTATGTTATGGCTTTAGAAGCTTCTGATAAGCTAATTGACATCATTTAACTCAATTGGAGGTGTACCTGTGGCTGTATTTCAAGGCCTACCTTCATACTCAGTGCCTCTTTGCTTGACATCATGGGAAAATCAAAAGAAATCAGCCAAGATCTCAGAAAGAAAATTGTAGACCTCCACAAGTCTGGTTCATCCTTGGGAGCAATTTCCAAATGCCTGAAGGTACCACGTTCATCTGTACAAACAATAGTACGCAAGTACACTGCTCAAAAAAATTAAGGGAACAGTTAAACAACACAATGTAACTCCAAGTCAATCACACTTCTGTGAAGTCAAACTGTCCACTTAGGAAGCAACACTGAATGACAATAAATGTCACATGCTGTTGTGCAAATGGAATAGACAACAGGTGGAAATTATAGGCAATTAGCAAGACACCCCCAATAAAGGAGTGGTTCTGCATGTGGTGACCACAGACCACTTCTCAGTTTTTTTTTTTCAAATCAAATCAAATTTTATTGGTCACATGCGCCGAATACAACAGGTGCAGACATTACAGTGAAATGCTTACTTAAAGCCCTTAACCAACAGTGCATTTATTTTAAACAAAAAAGTAAGAATAAAACAACAACAAAAAAAGTGTTGAGAAAAAAAGAGCAGAAGTAAAATAAAGTGACAGTAGGGAGGCTATATATACAGGGGGGTACCGTTGCAGAGTCAATGTGCGGGGGCACCGGCTAGTTGAGGTAGTTGAGGTAATATGTACATGTGGGTAGAGTTAAAGTGACTATGCATAAATACTTAACAGAGTAGCAGCAGCGTAAAAAGGATGGGGTGGGGGGGCAGTGCAAATAGTCCGGGTAGCCATGATTAGCTGTTCAGGAGTCTTATGGCTTGGGGGTAGAAGCTGTTGAGAAGTCTTTTGGACGTAGACTTGGCACTCCGGTACCGCTTGCCGTGCGGTAGCAGAGAGAACAGTCTATGACTAGGGTGGCTGGAGTCTTTGACAATTTTGAGGGCCTTCCTCTGACACCGCCTGGTATAGAGGTCCTGGATGGCAGGAAGCTTTGCCCCAGTGATGTACTGGGCCGTACGCACTACCCTCTGTAGTGCCTTGCGGTCGGAGGCCAAGCAGTTGCCATACCAGGCGGTGATGCAACCAGTCAGGATGCTCTCGATGGTGCAGCTGTAGAATTTTTTGAGGATCTGAGGACCCATGCCAAATCTTTTTAGTCTCCTGAGGGGGAATAGGCTTTGTCGTGCCCTCTTCACGACTGTCTTGGTGTGTTTGGACCATGATAGTTCGTTGGTGATGTGGACACCAAGGAACTTGAAGCTCTCAACCTGTTCCACTACAGCCCCGTCGATGAGAATGGGGGCGTGCTCAGTCCTCTTTTTTTTCCTGTAGTCCACAATCATCTCCTTTGTCTTGGTCACGTTGAGGGAGAGGTTGTTGTCCTGGCACCACACGGCCAGATCTCTGACCTCCTCCCTATAGGCTGTCTCATCGTTGTCGGTGATCAGGCCTACTACTGTTGTGTCGTCGGCAAACTTAATGATGGTGTTGGAGTCGTGCCTGGCCATGCAGTCATGGGTGAACAGAGAGTACAGGAGGGGACTGAGCACGCACCCCTGAGGGGCCCCCGTGTTGAGGATCAGTGTGGCAGATGTGTTGTTACCTACCCTTACCACCTGGGGGCGGCCCGTCAGGAAGTCCAGGATCCAGTTGCAGAGGGAGGTGTTTAGTCCCAGGATCCTTAGCTTAGTGATGAGCTTAGAGGGCACTATGGTGTTGAATGCTGAGCTGTAGTCAATGAATAGCATTCTCACGTAGGTGTTCCTCTTGTCCAGGTGGGAAAGGGCAGTGTGGAGTGCGATAGAGATTGCATCATCTGTGGATCTGTTGGGGCGGTATGCAAATTGGAGTGGGTCTAGGGTTTCTGGGATAATGCTGTTTATGTGAGCCATGACCAGCCTTTCAAAGCACTTCATGGCTACAGACGTCAGTGCTACGGGTCGGTAGTCATTTAGGCAGGTTATCTTAGAGTCCTTGGGCACGGGGACTATGGTGGTCTGCTTGAAACATGTTGGTATTACAGACTCAGTCAGGGACATGTTGAAAATGTCAGTGAAGACACTTGCCAGTTGGTCAGCACATGCTCGGAGTACACGTCCTGGTAATCCGTCTGGCCCTGCGGCCTTGTGAATGTTGACCTGCTTAAAAGTCTTACTCACATCGGCTACGGAGAGCGTGATCACATAGTCATCCGGAACAGCTGGTGCTCTCATGCATGCTTCAGTGTTGCTTGCCTCGAAGCGAGCATAGAAGTGGTTTAGCTCGTCTGGTAGGCTTGTGTCACTGGGCAGCTCGCGGCTGTGCTTCCCTTTGTAGTCTGTAATAGTTTTCAAGCCCTGCCACATCCGACGAGCGTCAGAGCCAGTGTAGTATGATTCAATCTTAGACCTGTATTGACTCTTTGCCTGTTTGATGGTTCGTCGGAGTTCATAGCGGGATTTCTTATAAGCGTCCGGGTTAGAGTCCCGTTCCTTGAAAGCGGCAGCTCTACCCTTTAGCTCAGTGCGGATGTTTCCTGTAATCCATGGCTTCTGGTTGGGGTATGTACGTACGGTCACTGTGGGGAAGTTCCTATGCTTCCTGGCTGATGTTTTGGTCACTTTTGAATGCTTGCGGTGCTTTCACTCTAGTGGTAGCATGAGACGGAGTCTACATCCCACACAAGTGGCTCAGGTAGTGCAGCTCATCCAGGATGGCACATCAATGCGAGCTGTGGCAAGAAGGTTTTGTGTGTCTGTCAGCGTAGTGTCCAGAGCATGGAGGCGCTACCAGGAGACAGGCCAGTACATCAGGAGACGTGGAGGAGGCCGTAGGAGGGCAACAACCCAGCAGCAGGACCGCTACCTCCGCCTTTGTGCGAGGAGGAGCAGGAGGAGCAGGAGGAGCACTGCCAGAGCCCTGCAAAATGACCTCCAGCAGGCCACAAATGTGCATGTGTCTGCTCAAACGGTCAGAAACAGACTCCATGAGGGTGGTATGAGGGCCCGACGTCCACAGGTGGGGGTTGTGCTTACAGCCCAACACCGTGCAGGACGTTTGGCATTTGCCAGAGAGCACCAAGATTGGCAAATTCGCCACTGGCGCCCTGTGCTCTTCACAGATGAAAGCAGGTTCACACTAAGCACGTGACAGACGTGACAGAGTCTGGAGATGCCGTGGAGAAGGTTCTGCTGCCTGCAACATCCTCCAGCATGACCGGTTTGGCGGTGGGTCAGTCATGGTGTGGGGTGGCATTTCTTTAGGGGGCCGCACAGCCATCCATGTGCTCGCCAGAGGTAGCCTGACTGCCATTAGGTACCGAGATGAGATGCTCAGACCCCTTGTGAGACCATATGCTGGTGCGGTTGGCCCTGGGTTCCTCCTAATGCAAGACAATGCTAGACCTCATGTGGCTGGAGTGTGTCAGCAGTTCCTGCAAGAGGAAGGCATTGATGCTATGGACTGGCCCGCCCGTTCCCCAGACCTGAATCCAATTGAGCACATCTGGGACATCATGTCTCGCTCCATCCAGCAACGCCACGTTGCACCACAGACTGTCCAGGAGTTGGCGGATGCTTTAGTCCAGGTCCGCCACCTCATCAGGAGCATGCCCAGGCGTTGTAGGGAGGTCATACAGGCACGTGGAGGCCACACACACTACATCAAAGTTGGATCAGCCTGTAGTGTGGTTTTCCACTTTAATTTTGAGTGTGACTCCAAATCCAGACCTCCATGGGTTGATACATTTGATTTCCATTGATTAATTTTTGTGTGATTTTGTTGTCAGCACATTCAACTATGTAAAGAAAAAAGTATTTAATAAGATTATTTCATTCATTCAGATCTAGGATGTGTTATTTTAGTGTTCCCTTTATTTTTATGAGCAGTGTATAAACACCATGGGACCATGCAGCCGTCATACCACTCAGGAAGAGACGCGCTCTGTCCCCTAGAGATGAACGTACTTTGGTGCGAAAAGTGCAAATCAATCCCAGAACAACAGCCAAGGACCTTGTGAAGATGCTGGAGGAAACAGGTACAAAAGTATCTATATCCACTGTAAAACAAGTCCTATATCGGCATAACCTGAAAGGCCGCTCAGCAAGGAAGAAGCCACTGCTCCAAAACCGCCATAAAAAAGCCAGACTACGGTTTGCAACTGCACATGGGGACAAAGATCGTACATTTTGGAGAAATGTCCTCTGGTCTGATGAAACAATAATATAACTGTTTGGCCATAATGACCATCGTTATGTTTGGAGGAAAAAGGGGGACGCTTGCAAGCCGAAGAACACCATCCCAACCGTGAATCATGGGGATGTCAGCATCATGCTGTGGGGGTGCTTTGCTGCAGGAAGGACTGGTGCACTTCACAAAATAGATGGCATCATGAGGAAGGAAAATTATGTGGATATATTGAAGCAACATCTCAAGACATCAGTCAGGAAGTTAAAGCTTGGTCGCAAATGGATCTTCCAAATGGACAATGACCCCAAGCATACTTCCAAAGTTGTGGCAAAATGGCTTAAGGACAACAAAGTCAAGGTATTGGAGTGGCCATCACAAAGCCCTGACCTCAATCCTATAGAAAATGTGTGGGCAGAACTGAAAAAGCGTGTGCGAGCAAGGAGGCCTACAAACCTGACTCAGTTACACCAGCTCTGTCAGGAGGATTGGGCCAAAATTCACCCAAATTATTGTAGGAAGTTTGTGGAAGGCTACCCGAAACGTTTGACCCAAGTTAAACAATTTAAAGGCAATGCTACAAAACACTAATTGAGTGTTTGTAAACTTCTGACCAACTGGGAACGTGATGAAAGAAATAAAAGCTGAAATAAATCATTCTCTCTACGATTATTCTGACATTGCACATTCTTAAAATAAAGTGGTGATCATAACTGACCTAAGACAGGGAATCTTTACTAGGATTAAATGTCAGGAATTGTGAAAAACTGAGTTTAAATGTATTTGGCTAAGGTGTATGTAAACTTCCGACTTCAACTGTATATATTTATTAATAAACATTTCTTGGAGTATTTCAGATGCTTGTGCTTTTCTTGTAATAAAGAGTTTAGGATAACTAACATTAAAATATTAACTTGAAAAAAGTATGCAAAATCATGTCAGAACTTGGAGCATACTGATTCCTCTATCAGCCCTTCTTTGAGGGTAAGGGGAGCATTTAGTTAATACCGCAGATGGTTAATACAGTACCCTCCCATATGTTAGCTTCAGTCCAGTGGTTTTCTCCACAGTCTCAGTATTCGGTTGGCTTCCCTTGTTACCAGGGAGGGAATACTTCTGAGACCTCTCATATGGCAGCAGCAGCAGTCTGGCACGGCAACAGTAACCATGTCACACTAATTGTTAACCACCGATTTATGGCCCACACTTGATGAATTATACAGTAACACCTGTGTTGTTGTTTATGCCATGGTGTGTCAGGATTCCAACCAATACAAATGGCCTTTGCCGGTAAACAAAGGAAAGGGATATTTGTCTGTGTGATTCACAAAACCTTCTTAAGAAGAAATGCCTTGACTGCCATTTTTTCCTTAACTATAGACTTATGAAGAAAGTTAAGCAAAGTTGCTATTCCTCAAAAACATTATTGGAAATGTTATTGCGCTATTTCTTATGTTTCTCCTTAAGCAAAAAGATAAGAAGAAATGTGATTCTTGAAAATGACATTTTTGGATTTGTTTTTAATTCCAAGATAGTTAAACCCTTGTCTTAAACCCTTGTCTTAAACAATTTAGCTAGATAGCTAGCTAAATTGGTTGCCTAGCAACAAACATCTTAAGGAAAATTCTTAAGAAGATATTTGAGAAGTTCGTAAGAAAATCATTAAATCTTAAGATATTGTTGAGGAACTGCACTGACTTATGAACCTCTTTTTTTTCTTAAGAAGCTTTTTATGTTTTTGCATAAGTGTTTTATGAATCTGGGCCCAGGTTTTTTGCCTTGGGCATTGTCAGTTTTGTACTGTGATCGATCAATGTCGATTTCTTTTTTGATAGAGCACTTGTCAAGCTGACAAGGACTGCATTCGGAAACTATTCAGACCCCTTCCCTTTTTCCACATTTTGTTACGTTACAGCCTTATTCTGAAATTGATTTAAATGAAACATTTAATCCTCAATCTAATCACAATACCCCATAATGACAAAGCGAAAACAGGTTTTTAGACATTTTTTATTTTTTCATACAAATATAAAACAGAGATACCTTGTTTACATAAGTATTCAGACACCAATCAGGCCTTTATGGTACATTTTACATTTACATTTTAGTCATTTAGCAGACGCTCTTATCCAGAGTGAGTGCATTCATTATTTTTTTTATATATATTTTTTTCATACTGGCCCCCCGTGGGAATCGAACCCACAACCCTGGCGTTGCAAACGCCATGCTCTACCAACTGAGCTACATCCCTGCCGGCCATTCCCTCCCCTACCCTGGACGACGCTGGGCCAATTGTGCGCCGTCGCATGGGTCTCCCGGTCGCGGCCGGCTACGACAGAGCCTGGATTCGAACCAGGATCTCTAGTGGCACAGCTAGCACTGCGATGCAGTGCCTTAGACCACTGCGCCACTCGGGAGACAATGCAGTGCCTTAGACCACTGCGCCACTGGTAGTGGCCAGACGGAAGCCACTCCTCAGTAAAAGGCACGACAGCCCACTTGGAGTTTGCCCAAAAAATGCCTAAAGGACTCTGACCATGAGAAACAAGATTCTCTGGTCTGATGAAACCAAGATTGAACTCTTTGGCCTGAATGCCAAGCATCACGTCTGGAGGAAACCTGGCACCATACCTATGGTGAAGCATGGTGGTGGCAGCATCATGCTGTGGGGATGTTTTTCAGTGGCAGGGACTGGGAGAATAGTCAGGATCAAGGAAAAGATGAACAGAGCAAAGTACAGAGAGATCCTTGATGAAAACCTGCTCCAGAGTGCTCAGGACCTCAGACTTGGGCGAAGTTTCATCTTCCAACAGAACAACGACCCTAAACACACAGCCAAGACAACACAGGAGTGACTTCGGGACAAGTCTCTGAATGTCCTTGAGTGGCCCAGCCAGAGCCCGGACTTGAACCCGATCTAACATCTCTGGAGAGACCTACAAATAGCTGTGCAGCGACGCTCCCCATCCAACCTGACAGAGCTTGAGAGGATCTGCAGAGAAGAATGGGAGAAACTCCCCAAATACAGGTGTGCCAAGCTTGTAACGTCATACCCAAGAAGACTCGATGCTGTAATCGCTGCCAAAGATGCTTCAACAAAGTACTGAGTAAAGGGTCTGAATACTTATGTAAATGTGTATATACGTTTTTTTATTTTGAATACATTTGCAAAAAATGTTGCTTGGTCATTATGGAGTATTGTGTGTAGATTGATGAGGGGGGAGAAAACAATTTAATACATTTTAGAGTACGGCTGTAACGTAACAAAATGTGGAAAAAGTCAAGGGTCTGAATACTTTCCGAGTGCACTGTATGTGATACAAGCTTGTTCGAGAGAGCAGGTATAGAGCTACTAGTATAGACTGGACTGTGACATTTGCTGTTCGTCCCAGATGAAGACAAGTCCATATTTGGTCGCAGTGTGAACAAGCAGGTGTTTGAGGGACTGACCACCGGCCTGCTGCAGACCAGCACCACCGTCCTGAGCCTTCTCCGTCCCTATGTACCTGACTGTGGCCGCGGGGACGCCCCTCGCATCATGTCACCAGACACCAAGACCAAGACCTCCCTTATAGAGCCCTTCAACACCCGTGCCCAGGACCTCATCAGGTAAGCTCTTCCTCCTCCTCTCTCTCAAACCATACACTGCTTTATTGGGGCCCTCCTGCCTTTCACAGTACCTCTCTACCTCCTCCCATGTCCCCCCTCCACTCTCTCACTGACAGGGTTGATGTGGGGAAACACTGATATTTTAACTTAGTTACTGTCAGAAATAGCCTTTTGTTGAAAAGATTGCTACAAAATGTCAGCTCCCTTGGAATAGGTCCCAGTATTTGCATTTTATTCCATCTTGCTCAGGGGCTTGTAGTGAGGGTGAGAGAGGTTGTCCTCTGGCATCTGTCCAAAAAGTTCTTTTTCACACATTCTGGATAAAAATCTCAGCAAAAAGTCCTTTTTTACTTGGGGCAACATAAACAAAGAACACTCCTGGAAGTTTGCAACATCCCCTTGAACGTGGCCTTTGAGTAGCAGGGGCTGTGGGCTGTCTCTCCGGCGCTGTGGGGCGGTGAGGAAAGGCAGGCCCAAGCCTTCAGGAAGAGTGGAGTCTTCCCATCATCCCTCCCACAGCCAATGATTCATCTGACCAGAGCAGCTGCACAGGCCCAACACTCATACTATGTCCCAGTCGTAACCCAGGAGACAGGGGAGAGGAAAAATGGTGTCGTCAGACAAGTAATCCCTGCAAAGCAATGGACGATTTACCTAATCTGCCTCAAATTATGTATATAATGGTAGGGAGGAAATAAGGTAACTTTTGCAACACTTTTCCCATTATGGTGAACTGTAGATCACACAGAAAGAGAACATCAGCATTCCGCTTCTACGTCTTCATTTCTCATTACCAATCACTCACCAGGCTTTGTACTATACTTATCTCCTACCAGTGTAAGAAACGTACAGATGCGTGTAGCGCGTAAGTTGAGAAACACAGGGGCAAGACTGAACACTGAACAGCTTTTCAAACAGACTATGGGCCAGGCATTGTGCATAACTGTGTGTGGAAAGCTCCTTTCAGCTTAGTTGAAGCTGTGAAAGAGGATAGTCATAGCAAGTTGCCGTGGTTCAAGTGTCAGATGACCTATTGTGGAGGTTTAACCATTTTTTTTATTACCTGCCTTGAGAAGAGCCCATTTTGACTGACAATCCCAACAAAAAAAGGTATGCGAGTTGAAGGAGTAAGTTAAGCGGAGCCGGAGAGGGAAAGGGATAGATGGATGCCTGTACTGTAGATCAGTGGCTGGCTTTCCTGATTCCTGACTGAGCTGTCTGGTACATCTGGGAGGTCTTGTGATTGACAGCTGAGCCTCCTTGTCTGTCCCTATGGTGGGTAGGGCTAAAGTGGGCTGAGCTGTGGTGGGAGAGGCATACCTTAGCCGTGAGGCAGCCACAGGTCAGCAGACAGTCAGGGGCCTGGCTCTGGGCTGGCACAGGGGGGCACAGCCGCCCTCTAATGATGCTATTATCAGTGATTTGAGGCTGAGAGAGCAAAGGGAACATGATCATGAGACCTGCCATTGGCAAGAAAAATTGGAGATATCACAGTAATGACAGGGAGTACAGAGGGCTTAGGTGAGATCACATTTCAACTGTGCTGCCGGTGAGTTACTATCAGTGAGGGCCTTTGTTAGGATAAAACATATTTCACAGAGACAGACTTCATTCATTGTGAAAGTTTTGTCATTTGTTGTTTTCTTCATGTGGATTCACTCTTATCCTCCTTTTGTGTTTGTCCCTCCCTCAGCTATGTGGTAAACATGGGTCTGATTGACAAGCTGTATGGCTGCTTCCTGTCTGTCCAGGGCCCGGTGGACGAGAGCCCCAAGATGTCTGCCTTCCTCCAGCAGGCCACCGCTCTGCAGCACGCCATGTGTAAGCTGTGCTTCGCTGTGACCGGCCGGTGAGTGGCAGCAGTCTCCCTTCCTCTATGACCCTCCTCTCCAGACATCCCTGTGATCACACACGGCTGTTCACAAGACTAATGACAGGAGTGACTCACCGTTGGATCTTTTAAGTCCGCCCTGCTGTCCCATAAAGACTTGTTGTTGGAGCTCAAACAAAGACACTGCCTCCTTTTCAATCACACTCAGTGGTTTCCTTTAGTCTGAGCGCTGGCAAGGCCATCGTTACTGTTGATCGAGATAGGCATCTACTTGACCCCAGTGCTCTGTCACTCACCATAAACCCTTGCCTCCAGCACACAAGGGGAAGCCCACCCACGTGTTACTGTGACCTGCCCCGAGAGAGGCTCAATGGCGCCGCTGACAGAGGCTAAGCATACAGACTGAGACACAATACTGACGAAGATAGCATGACCCTTAGTACAGGTATGCTGCCCTCATAGTGAAATATCATCAGCGCTCATATGGGCACATCAGGTCCCTTTTAGTTTCTGTAGTGTCATTGTTTGAATTAGAACAGAGGTATTTTAACTCTACTTAAATATTGCTGGTCTGTTGTCAAAACCTTGCATTCTAGACGGGTTGCCTGACAACGTCACGAAAATGTGTTTGCATTGATGGGGCAGAAGGCTGTGTGTTGTTATGATTCTGAACGGTCAGATTGCTAGAAACAATGACAAGAAGCTGTCATATGGGGAAGCGTAAGTGGCTTGTTTCAGCTAGTTTTATGTTGTTCTTACCCCATGTCTTGTTTTGAGGGGTTTTCACTGATGACACGTCTATGCTAATATGGCTGAAATTCACTAGCTAGCTAACCAACAACTGTAACGATGTATTTACATTTACATTTTATATTTTAGTCATTTAGCAGACGCTCTTATCCAGAGCGACTTACAGTTATTGCATACATTTTCATACATTATGGCCAAACAGTTTTGTTTCATCAGACCAGAGGACATTTCTCCAAAAAGTATGATCTTTGTCCCCATGTGCAGTTGCAAACCGTAGTCTGGCTTTTTTATGGCGGTTTTGGAGCAGTGGCTTCTTCCTTGCTGAGCGGCCTTTCAGGTTATGTCGATATCGGACTCGTTTTACTGTGGATATAGATACTTTTGTACCTGTTTCCTCCAGCATCTTCACAAGGTCATTTGCTGTTGTTCTGGGATTGATTTGCACTTTTCGCACCAAAGTACGTTCATCTCTAGGAGACAGAACACGTCTCCTTCCTGAGCGGTATGGCGGCTGTGTGGTCCCATGGTGTTTATACTTGCGTACTATTGTTTGTACAGATGAAGGTGGTAACTTCAGGCGTTTGGAAATTGCTCCCAAGGATGAACCAGACTTGTGGAGGTCTGCAAAAATTTTTTCTGAGGTCTTTGCTGATTTCTTTTGATTTTCCCATGATGTCAAGCAGAGGCACTGAGTTTGAAGGTAGGCCTTGAAATACATCCACAGGTACACCTCCAATTGATTCAAATGATGTCAATTAGCCTATCAGAAGCTTCTAAAGCCATGACATCATTTTCTGGAATTTTCCAAGCTGTTTAAAGTCAGTCAATTTAGTGTATGTAAACTTCTGACCCACTGGAATTGTGATACAGTGAATTATAAGTGAAATAATCTGTCTGTAAACAATTGTTGGAAAAATTACTTGTGTCATGCACAAAGTAGATGTCCTAACCGACTTGCCAAAGCTGTAGTTTGTTAACAAGAAATTTGTGGAGTGGTTGAAAAACAAGTTTTAATGACTCCAACCTAAGTTTATATACAGTACCAATCAAAAGTTTGGACACACCTACTCATTCAAGGGTTTTTCTTTATTTGTACTATTTTCTACATTGTAGAATAATAGTGAAGACATCAAAACCACGAAACAACACACATGGAACAGCCAAAAAAGTGCCAAACAAATCAAAATATACTTTACATTTGAGACTCTTCAAACAGCCACCCCCTGCCTCGATGACAGCCCTGCACACCCTTGGCGCCCCCCCAACCAGCCTCACCTGGAATGCTTTTCCAACAGTGTTGAAGGAGTTCCCACATATGCTGAGCACTTGTTGGCTGCTTTTCCTTCACTCCGCCATTCGACTCATCCCAAACTATCTCAATTGGGTTGAAGTCGGGGGATTGTGGAGGCCAGGTCATCTGATGCAGCACTCCATCACTCTCCTTCTTGGTAAAATAGCCCTTACACAGCCTGGAGGTGTGTTGGGTCATTGTCCTGTTGAAAAACAAATGATAGTCCCACTAAGCCCAAACCAGATGGGATGGCGAATCGCTGCAGAATGCTGTGGTAGCCATGCTGGTTAAGTGTGCCTTGAATTCGAAATAAATCACTGACAGTGTCACAAGCAAAGCATCATAACACCTCCTCCATGCTTTACGGTGGGAAATACACATGCGGAGATCATCCGTTCACCCACACCGCATCTCACAAAGACACAGCGGTTTGAACCAACAATCTCAAATTTGGACTCATCAGACCAAAGGACAAATTTCCACCGGTCTAATGTCCATTGCTCGTGTTTCTTGGCCCAAGCAGGTCTCTTTTTATTATTGGTGTCCTTTAGTAGTGGTTTCTTTGCAGCAATTCGACCATGAAGGCCTGATTCACAAAGTCCCCTCTGAACCGTTTATGTTTATGTCTGTGACTTGAACTCTGTGAAGCATTTATTTGGGCTGCAATTTCTGAGGCTGGTAACTCTAATGAACTTATCCTCTGCAGCAGAGGTAACTCTGGGTCTTCCTTTCCTGTGGAGGTCCTCATGAGAGCCAGTTTCATCAAAGCGCTTGATGGTTTTTGCGACTGCACTTGAAACATTTTCATGATTGAATTACAGTCATGTCTTAAAGTAATGGACTGTCGTTTCTCTTTGCTTATTTGAGATGTTCTTGCCATAATATGGACTTGGTCTTTTACCAAATATGGCTATCTTCTGTATACCCCCCCCCTACCTTGTCACAACACAACTGATTGGCTCAAACGCATTAAGAAGGAAAGAAATTCCACAAATTAACTTTTAAGAAGGCACACCTGTTAATTGAAATGCATTCAAGGTGACTACCTCATGAAGCTGGCTGAGAGAATGCCAAGAGTGTGCAAAGCTGCCATCAAGGCAAAGGGCCGCCACCCGAAGAATCCCAAATGCAAAATATATTTTGATTTGTTCAACACCCTTCCTGGCTACCACATGACTCCACATGTGTTACTTCACAGCCCTGATGTCCTCGCCACCACTCCACAATGCACAAAAATGAACATATACACTGTGGAGGTCCTTGGCTGGCGTGGTTGCACGTGGTCTGCGGTTGTGAGGCCGGTTGGACGTACTGCCAAATTCTCTAAAACGACGTTGGAGGCGGCTTATGGTAGAGAAATGAACATTCAATCCTCTGGCAACAGCTCTGGTGGAAATTCCTGCAATCAGCATGCCAAATGCATGATCTCTCAATTTGAGACATCAGTGGCATTGTTCTGTTATCATGCTGTTTAATCAGCTTATTGATATGCCATGCCTGTCAGGTGGATGGATTATCTTGGCAAAGGAGAAATGCTCACTAACAGGGATGTAAACTAATTTGTACACAAACTTTTGAGAGAAATAAGATTTTTGTGCGTATGGAAAATTCTGGAATCTTTTATTTCAGCTCATAAAACATGGGACTAACACGATGTTGCGTTTCGATTTTTGTTCAGTGTATAAAAGAGATGAAAACATGAGATGTTCATGTGTGGAATTGGTAGGGAGGGATAAAATATTAATCACAGATAAAATGGCTCAACATGAAAAACGTCCAAAAATCTGCTGAGGCCAGAAAAAGATACAGAAAGTCAGAAAAACAGGGCTGAGCCGATGTTGGAGGGGGCTGTCTGGGTGACATACTTTTATTTGAGAGACAAGTGCTTATTGTGTACATTTATTTATGTTTTCAATAAACATTTGGAGACGAAATACAGTTCCCATGTCAATAATCCTTTGGAGTTGACAGTTGTTTTGCCCAAACGTTGCGCACGCATCAGTTTTGTTGCTAAACAACCCACCCGTCTATAGGTCTTTATCGCCAGGGCTGATATTACTTACTATACTGTAGATGTTGTGACTGTATCGTTCCTGTGCCCACACTGTACTGCTAGTGTACCTCTCCTCCAGCTGCTGTGTGCTGTAACAGTGCCCAGCTGCTTCCCACCAACACAGGGGAGCACTGCTGTGAATGTGTCACTGAATATCTGTGAGAAAACACAGCGCCATAACCTCGCCACTTTAATGAGCAGACCGAGCGGTGTTGTGTAATAATCAACACCCTGCTAATCCAGCCAACTATCTCCATTCTTACCCGGTCCTCTGTGTGTTCAGGAAGTTATACTAGAGAGAATGTATACCATGGTCCTGGAATATTTTTTGCCATGCCAGTTGCTGTGTCGAGGGATTTAACTGGCATTAGAGACCATGTACTTGCCGAGCTCAGAATTTCCACACAGAGCTGTTGGCCAACATACAGTGGGTTCCATCCAGAGGTCAAACATCCTTTATTCTTTGCCTGCAAATCACAGCCTGTGCAGCAGGGGTATTCTTAAATTCCCTGTCAGCATTAGCTTATGGAACTCTGTGGGTTTGCAGACATCCTAATTGTAAAACAATGGGAGCCATTTGACATTAGTTTTCTCTGATGCCATTGACTACGATGTAGTGATGTTAATGTAGTTTGAGAGAGTACATTTCGTATGGTGATTAGTCTCAGCTAAACAGAAGACATTTTGAGCATTAGGATCTATAAAGCATGGGCTAATCAGGGTAAACTCCTCTTTTGCGCCAGTTGTTAGTCTGTCTATAGACGTTTACATTGACTGGCCTCCAGTCTTATCAAGAGGGCAGCTGAGGCACTCAGAGCAACCTCCCCTTCCATCCCATCAGTGTTATACTCTAGTTCTGTTCTCACCTGCTATGTGTGCTGAGAGGATGATGTTACCAATCCCTTTAATCTGCAGGGTGGCGTCCTGGCTAAGACACACAAACACGCTGCTTTCAATCATGTAAGGTGGACCTTAATTAAATGTGCCTGAGTACGCAGCACCTTGCCAGGAAGCTTTCTGCAGCTAAGGGCATGGATGGGCCGCTGCTATGAGCTGTCAGAGCTACTTCCAAATTCCTCTGTTCATTCTGCCCAGCTTGGAGGAGCAAACTCTCACATTCTGAACTGGTGTAAAATAACAGTCACATTTCTGTGTCACTGCTGTACCATTAAGGAATTTCTCAGTCTGTGGTTGTAGTGATAATGACCAATCTTTTAACTGCGATCATCCTTGATTAGGCCTAAATAATCTTCAGTGCACAGCTGAGCATTGACACCTTCTCACCCACAGCCACCAGAATACATCTCCTACTTCCCTCTCACTCAGTGTAACCAGTTACGCCACTTAACCCAATAGGCATGCAGTGTAAATGGGGCTGTCCCTATCATTTATATCTGAGCGGATAGCCCTGGTCTAGCGAGTAAATCTAGAAGCCACAGGGACCAGACTACCTTCACTCTTACATATTGGGTCTCTGGTCACTGTGGTAAGGAGGGCAGATGAGCTATGTTGTGAATTGAACTTTTACTTGATATAGAACGTTTTTTTTATTTTCATGAACCAATAATGAGTTTGGAGATCTTATTTTGGAGTTTGGAGTAGTCTGATCCAGTTAATTTCCCTATAGAACATTTCACTCACTATGTTAATTGAGCAGAAATTAAATGATCATGTCACATGTTTATTTATATTGCCTGTATCCTTTGCAGCTCTCCCAGTATATTCGATAACAAGCGTGCAGACCCCACGGGCCTGACGGCCCTGCTGCAGTCCACAGACCTGGTGGGTGTGGTGCACACTCTGTACTGCATCCTGCTCCACAGCTCCTCCCTGCCTGAGCCGGCTGCCCAGAGCCCACAGGACCCCTATGCCCCAGGGGTCATCCAGGTGGCCCTAACGGGCCTCCGCTTCCTCAACAGCTTCGCCCTGCTTGACCTGTCTGCCTTCCAGGTACCACACACACACACACACACACACACACACACACTCTCCACTTCATACTGAGGTAGAGTACACACACAGAGAGAGATACACACACACATTCTCACACTTGAATCCCTCATTCTACAGGTCCAGTAGGTGGTGTTAATTACAGTGACTCTTTATCCAAAAGTTATGCCGCCCACGGTGCAGGTTTTTCAATACCGGCACAGCACATACAATACAGTATATACTGGCCTTGCTGGTTATGTAGGTGTATTATGCTGGACACATTCCACAGACTGACATTCCAAATAGGGGGTGCCATGAAAAGGTCTTGTCACCAATGTCCTCTCTCACAGTTTTATTGACTAGCACCCTCATATCCCTGTGCACAAGCATCAGGCAGCACACAAATATCCCTCCTTCCTCTTCCTGGCAGAAACAAGGCCATGTGTAACTGATTGACAGGCAGCAGAGGCCAGGTCTCAGAGCTGCTGCCATTGGACTGGAGTATTTATCCTCAGGATAAAGCTGACCTCTTGGACATAAACACGTGTCCCCTGACCTGGGGTCAGCTGCTGAGGTTAAATGGAGCACGGTGGGTCAGAATTGCGGATGGACCTGAGTGTTTAGTGCTGTAGCCAGGGCCATACATTACCAGCTCTGATGAAGAGAGGATGACAACTTCACTGTGCTCAGGCAGCGCATAAACAGAAAGGCGTGAGGGAGGAAGTGGGAGAGTTATTCATTATTTTAAAACCTGTGGGTAATTAACAGAGGCTGCTCTCCCTCGGCTCTGGCATGCTCAGGCTATTCAAAACAGCTGGAACTCGAAGCTTTTCAGTGCCAACGTTTTTATGAACATTTTAAATAATGTTTATTTGTGGCCTGTGTTGTAATCACCTTGTGGTTCACATTACCCCACAGTAGTGCCGACTAATGAGCACTACAGTGGATGGTGAGCTGCTCTCTCTTCTCATTGGCCATTTTGCTAGTTCCCAGAATCAGCTACCAAATTGGGTGGTTAGAGGGGATTTCAAACTGAAAGGACACTGCTGGTGATGAGTTAATTAGCAAATATTTGAGAAGTCTATTTTCAAGTAAATTAATAAAATATATTAGTATTTAATCACTAACCTTTTGGTGCCCATCAAAACAGACAGTATATTCAGCCTTTGCATTAATTCACTGACAAAATATGGGGGTCAGTTTGTCTCACTGTTCCCCCTAAGTCCTAAGACTGGTGGGTATGGTTAGATTACAGTGAGGGAAAAAAGTATTTGATCCCCTGCTGATTTTGTACGTTTGCCCACTGACAAATAAATTATCAGTCTATAATTTTAATGGTAGGTTTATTTGAACAGTGAGATACAGAATAACAACAACAAAAAATCCAGAAAAACGCATGTCAAAAATGTTATAAATTGATTTACATTTTAATGAGGGAAATAAGTATTTGACCCCCTCTCAATCAGAAAGATTTCTGGCTCCGAGGTGTCTTTTTATACAGGTAACGAGCTGAGATTAGGAGCACACTCTTAAAGGGAGTGCTCCTAATCTCAGCTTGTTACCTGTATAAAAGACACCTGTCCACAGAAGCAATCAATCAATCAGATTCCAAACTCTCCACCATGGCCAAGACCAAAGAGCTCTCCAAGGATGTCAGGGACAAGATTGTAGACCTACACAAGGCTGGAATGGGCTACAAGACCATCGCCAAGCAGCTTGGTGAGAAGGTGACAACAGTTGGTGCGATTATTCGCAAATGGAAGAAACACAAAAGAACTGTCAATCTCCCTCGGCCTGGGGCTCCATGCAAGATCTCACCTCGTGGAGTTGCAATGATCATGAGAACGGTGAGGAATCAGCCCAGAACTACACGGGAGGATCTTGTCAATGATCTCAAGGCAGCTGGGTCCATAGTCGCCAAGAAAACAATTGGTAACACACTACGCCGTGAAGGACTGAAATCCTGCAGCGCCCGCAAGGTCCCCCTGCTCAAGAAAGCACATATACAGGTCGTCGGAAGTTTGCCAATGAACATCTGAATGATTCAGAGGAGAACTGGATGAAAGTGTTGTGGTCAGATGAGACCAAAATGGAGCTCTTTGGCATCAACTCAACTCGCCGTGATTGTAGGAGGAGGAATGCTGCCTATGACCCCCAGAACACCATCCCCACCGTCAAACATGGAGGTGGAAACATTATGCTTTGGGGGTGTTTTTCTGCTAAGGGGACAGGACAACTTCACCGCATCAAAGGGACGATGGACGGGGCCATGTACCGTCAAATCTTGGGTGAGAACCTCCTTCCCTCAGCCAGGGCATTGAAAATGAGTCGTGGATGGGTATTCCAGCATGACAATGACCCAAAACACACGGCCAAGGCAACAAAGGAGTGGCTCAAGAAGAAGCACATTAAGGTCCTGGAGTGGCCTAGCCAGTCTCCAGACCTTAATCCCATAGAAAATCTGTGGAGGGAGCTGAAGGTTTCGAGTTGCCAAACGTCAGCCTCGAAACATTAATGTCTTGGAGAAGATCTGCAAAGAGGAGTGGGATAAAATCCCTCCTGAGATGTGTGCAAACCTGGTGGCCAACTACAAGAAACGTCTGACCTCTGTGATTGCCAACAAGGGTTTTGCCACCAAGTACTAAGTCATGTTTTGCAGAGGGGTCAAATACTTATTTCCCTCATTAAAATGCAAATCAATTTATAACATTTTTGACATGCGTTTTTCTGGATTTTTGTTGTTGTTATTCTGTCTCTCACTGATCAAATGAACCTACCATTAAAATTATAGACTGATTATGTCTTTGTCAGTGGGCAAACGTATAAAATCAGCAGGGCATCAAATGCTTTTTTCCACCACTGTACATGGGGGAGAACAGAGTTATGTCTCCAGTATTGCAGGGTGATATTGAGAGTGTAGACAGCAGTAAGGCTCAGGTCTGCTAAGAGGAGTGGGCCTCTCAGGTAGGTACTATTTAGGAGACTGTTTACCTCCTCCCCTCCACCAGTCCCCAAACCTCATACAGTGGCTTGCGAAAGTATTCACCCCCCTGGCATTTGGGGGTTTGTATCATTTGATTTACACAGCATGCCTACCACTTTGAAGGTGCAAAATATTTTTGGTGAAACAAACAATAAATAAGACACAAAAAAAAGAACTTCAGCATGCATAACTATTCACCCCCCCAAAAGTCAATACTTTGTAGAGCCACCTTTTGCAGCAATTACAGCTGCAAGTCTCTTGGGGTATGTCTCTATAAGCTTGGCACATCTAGCCACTGGGATTTTTGCCCATTCTTCAAGGCAAAACTGCTCCAGCTCCTTCAAGTTGGATGGGTTCCGCTAGTGTACAGCAATCTTTAAGTCATGCCACAGATTCTCAATTGGATTGAGGTCTGGGCTTTGACTAGGCCATTCCAAGACATTTAAATGTTTCCCCTTAAACCACTCGAGTGTTGCTTTACCAGTATGCTTAGGGTCATTGTCCTGCTGGAAGGTGAACCTCCATCCCAGTCTCAAATCTCTGGAAGACTGAAACAGGTTTCCCTAAAGAATTTCCCTGTATTTAGCGCCATCCATCATTACTACTTTCCCAGTCCCTTCCAATGAAAAACATCCCCACAGCATGATTCTGCCACCACCATGCTTCACTGTGGGGATGGTGTTCACGGGGTGATGAGAGGTGTTGGGTTTGCGCCAGAGTACCTTCTTCCATATGTTTGGGGAGTCTCCCACATGCCTTTTGGCGAACACCAAACGTGTTTGCTTATTTTTTTCTTTAAGCAATGGCTTTTGTCTGGCAACTCTTCCGTAAAGCCCAGCTCTGTGGAGTGTACGGCTTAAAGTGGTCCTATGGACAGATACTCCAATCTCCGCTGTGGAGCTTTGCAGCTCATTCAGGGTTATCTTTGGCCTCTTTGTTGCCTCTGATTAATGCCCTCCTTGCCTGGTCCGTGAGTGTTGGTGGGCAGCCCTCTCTTGGCAGGTTTGTTGTGGTGCCATATTCTTTCCATTTTGTAATAATGGATTTAATGGCGCTCCGTGGGATGTTCAACGTTTCGGATAATTTTTTTTATAACCCAACCCTGATCTGTACTTCTCCACAACTTTGTTCCTGACCTGTTTGGAGAGCTTATTGGTCTTCATGGTGCTTGCTTGGGGGTGCCCCTTGCTTAGTGGTGTTGCAGACTCTGGGGCCTTTCAGAACAGGTGTATATACAGTTGAAGTCGGAAGTTTACATACACTTAGGTTGGAGTCATTAAAGCTGGTTTTTCAACCACTCCACAAATTTCTAGTTAACAAACTATAGTTTTGGCAAATCAGTTAGGACATCTACATTGTGTATGACACAAGTAATTCTTTCAACAATTGTTTACAGACAGATTATTTCACTTATAATTCACCGTATCACAATTCCAGTGGGTCAGAAGTTTACATACACTAAGTTGAATGTGCCTTTAAACAGTTTGGAAATTTTCAGAAAATTATGTAATGACTTTAGAAGCTTCTGATAGGCTAAATTACATCATTTGAGTCAATTGGAGATGTACATGTGGATGTATTTCAAGGCCTACCTTCAAACTCAGTGCCTCTTTGCTTGACATCATGGGAAAATCAAAAGAAATCAGCCAAGACCTCAGGAAAAAAAATGGTAGACCTCCACAAGTCTGGTTCATCCTTGGGAGCAATTTCCAAACGCCTGAAGGTACCACGTTCATCTGTACAAACAATAGTACGCAAGTATAAACACCATGGGACCACGCAGCCGTCATACCGCTCAGGAAGGAGACGCATTCTGTCTCCTAGAGATTAACGTACTTTGGTGCGAAAAGTGCAAATCAATCCCAGAACAACAGCAAAGGACCTTGTGAAGATGCTGGAGGAAACAGGTACAAAAGTATCTATATCCACAGTAAAATGAGTCCGATATCGACATAACCTGAAATGCCTCTCAGCAAGGAAGAAGCCACGGCTCCAAACCGCCATAAAAAAGCCAGACTATGGTTTGCAACTGCACATGGGACAAAGATCATACTTTTTGGAGAAATGTCCTCTGGTCTGATGAAACAAAAATAGAACTGTTTGGCCATAATGACCATCGTTATGTTTTGAGGAAAAAGGGGGCGCTTGCAAGCCGAAAAACAACATCCCAACCGTGAAGCGCGGGGGTGGCAGCATCATGCTGTGGGGGTGCTTTGCTGCAGGAGGGACTGGTGCACTTCACAAAATTGATGGCATCATGAGGAAGGAAAATTATGTGGATAATTATTAGTTAGTTAAACAATTTAAAGGCAACGCTACCAAAAAACGAATTGAGTGTATGTAAACTTCTGACCCACTGGGAATGTGATGAAGAAGTAAAAGCTAAAATAAATCATTCTCTCTACTATTATTCTGACATTTCACATTCTTAAATTAAAGTGGTGATCCTAACTGACCTAAGACAGGGATTTTTTACTGGTATTAAATGTCAGGAATTGTGAATAACTGAGTTTACATTTATTTGGCTAAGGTGTATGTGAACTTCCGACTTCAACTGTATACTGAGATCATGTGACACTTAGATTGCACACAGGTGGACTTTATTTAATTAATTATGTGACTTCTGAAGGTAATTGGTTGCACCAGATCTTATTTAGGGGCTTCATAGCAAAGGGGTTGAATACATTAACATTTTTACATTTTAGTCATTTAGCAGACGCTCTTATCCAGAGCGACTTACAGTCGTACCCACAACCCTGGCGTTGCAAGCGCCATGCTCTACCAACTGAGCTACAGGGGACTATATGCACGCACCAGTTTTCCGTTATTTATTCTTTCGAACTTGTTTTCATTTCACTTCACCAATTTTGACTATTTTGTGTATGTCCATTACATGAAATCCAAATAAAAATCCATTTAAATTACAGGTTGTAATGCAACAAAATAGGAAAAACACCAAGGGGGGTGAATACTTTTGCAAGGCACTGTACATACACCCCAACCTGATTCCAGTGGGTTTTTTCTCAGCTGACCCTGTGGTGCTCAGTCATACTGACATGTTTAATAAATACTGTCTGTGGTCCTCTGATAGCATCTCATCTTCTGGGGGATTGGGGTTCCTCTGGTAGGACCCCCTGATGTTGGGGCTGGGGAGAGACCCCCTAGCAGAGTTTGACACTGCATCAACCAGTCTGAGTCTCTATCCGCTAAAGCACACACATCCCTCTCCTCTCTTTTAATTCAGCAAATCCAGCCTCACATATATTAACATCATAGTGTTGATTTCTCTACTTTTTAGGACTATTGTTGTTCATCTATCCAGTTAGATTTAGTGAATGTCTCTAGCTAGCTAGTGTCTGCTTTGTGTTTGAATGCTGATGTTGTTTCTGTGCCGTCTCAGACTGTTCTAAGTGCCGAGGGGCTGTCCCTTGCCTTCCGCCACATAGTGAGCTCCCTGCTGTGGTACTGCTCTCAGCACTCCTCTGAAGAGCTGCTGCATGAAGTCATCATCTGTGTGGGCTACTTCACTGTCAACCACCCTGACAACCAGGTAAAGGTCTAACACACACATACTCAAATATGTAATAAAGTCTGTTTTTGTTTCATGCCTGTTGTATGACACAATACATTACATGACACAATACATTATTTACCATTCATTTCTATTGGACACAAAATAATCTGAAACGCAGCCGAAACGAACTGCAAATGCGTCCAACAAATGTGTAGTCACAAGCTTGATGTAGTCATTGTGTGCTAGAAATATGGGACCAAATACTATACTTTTTACTACTTTATTTATAAGTATCTGTAGGCGTGTCAAAAATGCTGACCACTACCTTTTTAAGGAAAAAAACATGTTAAACAAAATCTCTGTCTCTGAGCAATTGCATTAGTATAATATACTTTCCCAATTTTTTTGAGCGTACAATATGGCTCAGTATTTTAATTATTTTATACTGTCATTATTGTTCATCTTTATCAAGGGTGTCAATCATTTCGGTCCCCACTGTATCTGTTCTGTTTCAGAAATATGAGATGAATGGTATCTGGTTTGGCATTGTGGCCCTGTTGCAACAGTCTGTCCATATAATGATACATATAATGATACCTTTATAAGCTTGTGATAACGTATCATTAGATGAAGAGAGGGTGTAGTTTTTGTGGTTCATACAAAAGCAACAAGAGCCTCCTCTTTAAAGATTCATATGTTGCCACCTCTGTGCTGTTGGGCTATGTGTTGTCTATTGTCCCTCAGTCAGAGAAGCGGGGTCCATTGTTCTGTCACAGAGCTGCCAGTTCTCTCTTGCGTAGTGTGCTTTGCTGTGTGGGCCCAGGCCTGGTGTTAAGGCTACTGGGCCTGTGTGGCTGTGAGCAGGATGTGATGGAGCAGACTTGGCTGCTGTGTAATTGGCTGTCATGCATGGTCTGTCTACTGGGCCCCTGAGCAGCCTACAAGTGCTACAGTTGGCCAGGCTTTAGTTAAGTGAAGCCTGACCCTCAGTGCCAGCCATCGAGCTTTACCTCAAACCTCTGCTACAATGTATTTTAATGTCCTCACAGACGCGGTCAACCACGCAACAATTTATAGGCGGATTACAGATTCTAATTTCCAGGATATTTTAGTCCTAATTAAAGAATCTGCCTCCGTTTATTGGCAGTTCAGCTCTCCTCCGCTGCTCCTATCCAATTTAATTATTTTTGATGTACGTAATTGGCATTTGTTGGCCTGATTTGCATATTATATTGGATCATTGAATGAAGACTGATGATTGATTTAGGGGGGTGACAGATCATTGGGCTTTGTACTTGCACTGCAAAGTTAACCTAACAGTATGCCTGGGAGTAGCAGACCTTTGCATATTCATTTATGACCAGCACACTTTGCTAATTTGAAATGCCCTAATGCAAAGTCTTCAACCTGTGACTTCCAATCAGGCACAAGCTGCTGACCATTGAGGAAATATCATATGTTGCCTTTGTCTATCTGCACCAAAGTCATCCCAAAGAGTGAACTCAGCGTTTAGGACTTGTTCATAATATTCCTTTTATTGTTAATTTGATAGGTGTGAGAACCCTTTGAGAAAATGTGAGGAAACGTAAAGAGTGATCCTTAGCGACCTCCATGGACTGATCCTGGCCAGTGGCACGGTTCCTGGAATGTGTCCATGTGATGTGGGCTCTGAACAGAGCAGAGCAGGATGGATGGAGTAGAGGGGAATATTTGGAGTAGCTTTAGCTTTTCTCAGACTAATGTAAGCATTGGCAGAGCACAAAAGTAGGCCGGGCCGTGCAGTCACATTGCTGATTCACTGTCGGCAGGCAGGCATACCAACCTTTTGTTTATATGTGTGCACTAGAAATAATGCTGCTCATAAAACTTTGAACTTTGAAGAAGGACTTTGTAGATAAGTATTCTCCCTGCTCTGAGGGTATGAATAACTCAGCCTGTCACATAGAAAGCCATTGGGAGAGTGACATATGTAGCCTTGTGTGTGTTTAAGGGCCATGTTTTCATTGTCTTTTGGGAGAACCCATAGAGACAGTCACACTAAAAAGGGGCTAAATGAAACTTGTTTTGTAACTGCCGTGTTCCTTGTCTCTTGAGGGGACATGTACCAGTAAGCTCCCTCGTCTTTTTCTTCGTAACCTCCAGTGATTCATTTGTGAGTCATTCATGGTGATGATCTCTAGGTTCTTTGAAATGTAGGAACAGTAAATGCTAGCGCTGTTGATACGTTAACCCAGACCCCTGGCTTTGCTTGCTTTCCTTAAGAAGCACCAGCACTTCAGCTATGTGACTTAAGAAAACTTTCTCTCATTCATGGGAAATGGCCACGCACACTCATACAAAGGTATGTAAATGTATCCCATTTCATGACCAGTTCCAGACTATGGAAAGTTTTCAGTAGGTTAATACAATTTCCCAAATTGACTTAAATTGACATTAATTCATCCCGACACTTGCAATGCATTTACTACTCAGATGCAATATTTCAGTTCATTATAAAGGCTACAGTAAAATAGAAAACTAGCTGCTTGTGGACTGCAGTAGGCCCCTTCCCAGACTGACATCCCACACATCAGTGTTATCTGCAGCTAGACGAGCCCCTGTCCTTCCCATTCTGTACGAGGGCATTTCCTCTGCCCTGCAGACCCCAGCTCACAGGTCTGGGCCTGTAATCCCTGATCAACTCTCCATTACTGCCAACACAATCCTAACCCTTCAAGCCTTCATGGGGAGCCAGCCCAGCGCTGGGGAATGCACCCTGTGTCTCCTACTATACACCAGAGTAAAGACACACACACACACACACTCAGACTGGTGACTGGCAGGTGAGGGCTGATTTGTTAGCTCTGTAGATGATTTACGCACTCCATATTGGGTGAGCCCAGGTCCAACTAACTTCAGTGTAGTTACGGGGGACATTTTCCTCATAAACCTTCCATATCTTTTTAAAGAGGTTGTATTTACAGAATTACTCATTTTGATTGTGGCTCTGGCAGTTTCAGAACGGCATCATCTGATGTAAGATCTAGTGTAAATTGACAATGTCAGTAGGCAGATAAATCTAGAATAATTACAACTTATTTGGCAAACACCATGTTTTTATGTGGTTTAGAGGAGATGGATAACCTTGGCCTGTCTCTTAAAAGCCATGGTGGGATCTTCTCTTCTTGTCCAGGGGATGTCTAAGTCAATGTCCATGTCGACATATGATTGTCAGTAGACAATTTACGTAGCATTCTGTACACGTCTCAATCAGGTGGTAGGTAGTTGTTAAGAGGTCCATTCAGCAGTATTTTTTTCAGGAAGGGAAGCTATCTTGGTATCCTCTGATGTCATCTGTCCCGTGTAGCTCAGTTGGTAGAGCATGGCGTTTGCAACGCCAGGGTTGTGGGTTCGATTCCCACGGGGGGCCACTATGAAAATGTATGCACTCACTAACTGTAAGTCGCTCTGGATAAGAGCATCTGCTAAATTACTAAAATGTAAATCTGCCCCTCTCTCTTATCAGGAGGGCCGTTCCTTCACTAGGGTATCTCCAGTGTGTAGAAGGAGGCTTGGCAGAGCTTCAGGTTTGTGGCCCTGTTTGAAGGCTGACATGGTTCCTCTAGCTGAGGGGTCTGGGTCTGTCTAGACGGCATGCAGAACATAGACTCCTCCACTGTCCACTCATCCACGATAGCCTCCCACAGTATGTGTGGAGGAATCTCAAATTCAAAATATGTTTAATGTGCTGGAATTACAGTACAGGTCACTCTGACTCTTAGAAGTAGTCAAATCTAGCTTGCTAACTAACCTTGGTTATTGCATGAGAGTCTTATTTTTGTAACACTTTATTTGGATAGTCCATACCGCCTGGTTTCCGCTTCAACTTGGGCTTTCCCAAGGTTTTGTTTGCGTTTCAGAACATTAACTTTACACGCTCTCTGTTGTCAGTGGACAGCAAAGTGGTTATGTAACGGAGAGTCATAAAAAAGCAGGCCTGTTTGAAAAGGCAGGTCTCTGTAGTTAAGACAGACCAGAACCACCAGGCACTTGAGCTTTACGGGTCTGTGTTAAACTGCGGCCTGATTCATGGCTTCAGACGCTTGCTGGACCTTTTATGATGTCAGGGTTTGAATAGATACTTCCAGTGGACAGGAACACCGTGTGGGGCACTGTTGTTGCTCTTCACCTGAGGTGATGCCTACAGATTCCTGGAAAGTTGGCTGTAGACTTGGTTTCTGTAGGACTAGGTAACCTCTGGTCTCTGGCTGCCAGCTGGCCTTGTTTTACAGTGCCTTCAAAAAGTATTCACACCCCTTGACTTTTTCCACATTTTGTTGTTACAGCCTGAATTTAAAATTGGTTAAATTGAGATTTTGTGTCACTGGGCTACACACAATACCCCATAATGTCAAAGTGGAATTATGTTTTTAGACATTTTTACAAATGTATTAATAATTAAATAAGTATTCATCCCCTTTGTTATGGCAAGCCTAAATAATTTCAGGAGTAAAAAATGTCTTAACAAGTCACATAATAACGTGAATGGACTCAATAATAGTGTTTAACATGATTTTTGAATGACTACTTCATCTCTGTACCTCACACATACAATTATACAGTGCCTTCGGAAAGTATTCAGACCACTTGACTTTTTCCACATTTTGTTACGTTACAGCCTTGTTCTAAAATTGATTAAATAAAAACAAATCCTCATCAATCTACACACAATACTCCATAATGACAAAGTGAAAACTGGTTTTTAGAAATGTTATAAAAAACAAAAATACCTTATTTACGTAAGTATTCAGACCCTTTGCTATGAGACTCGAAATTGAGCTCAGGTGCATCCTGTTTCAATTGACCATCTTTGATGTTTCTACAACTTGATTGGAGTCCACCTGTGGTAAATTCAATTGATTGGACATGATTTGGAAAGGCACACACCTGTCTATATAAGGTCCCACAGTTGACAGTGCATGTCAGAGCAAAAACTAAGCCATGAGGTCGAAGGAGTTGTCCGTAGAGCTCCGAGACAGGATTGTGTCGAGGCACAGATCTAAGGAAGGGAACCAAAAACTGTCTGCAGCATTGAAGGTCCCCAAGAACACAGTGGCCTCCATCATTCTTAAATGGAAGATGTTTGGAACCACCGAGACTCTTCCTAGAGTTGGCTGCCCGGCCAAACTGAGCAATCGGGGGAGAAGGGCCTTGGTCAGGGAGGTGACCAAGAACCCGATGGTCACTCTGACAGAGCTCTAGAGTTCCGCTGTGGAGATGGGAGGACCTTCCAGAAGGACAACCATCTCTGCAGCACTCCACCAATCAGGCCTTTATGGTAAATTGGCCAGACGGAAGCCACTCCTCAGCAAAAGGCACATGACAGCCCGCTTAGAGTTTGCCAAAAGCCACCTAAAGACTCTCAGACAATGAGAAACAAGATTCTCTGGTCTGATGAAACCAAGATTGAACTCTTTGGCCTGAATGCCAAGCATCACATCTGCAGTAAACCTGGCACCATCCCTATGGTGAAGCATGGTGGTGGCAGCATCATGCTGTGGGGATGGTTTTCAGCAGCAGGGAGTGGGAGACTAGTCAGGATCGAGGCAAAGATGAACGGAGCAAAGTACAGAGATCCTTGATGAAAACCTGCTCCAGAGTGCTTAGGACCTCAGACTGGGGCCAAGGTTCACCTTCCAACAGGACAACGACCCTAAGCACACAGCCAAAACAAAGCAGGAGTGGCTTCTGAAGTCTCTGAATGTCCTTGAGTGGCCCAGCCAGAGCCTGGACTTGAACCCGATCGAACATCTCTGGAGTGACCTGAAAATAGCTGTGCAGCAACGCTCCCCATCCAACCTGACAGAGCTTGAGAGGATCTGCAGAGAAGAATGGGAGAAACTCCCCAAATACAGATGTGCCAAGCTTGTAGCGTCATACCCAAGAAGACTCGATGCTGTAATCGCTGCCAAGGGTGCTTCAACAAATTACTGAGTAAAGTGTCTGAATACTTATGTAAATGTGTTATTTCCGTTTTTTTATTTTATTTTATAAATTAGCAAACATTTCAAAAAACCTGTTTTTGCTTAGTCATTATGGGGTATTGTGTGTAGATTGATGAGGGGAAAAAACAATCAATTTTAGAATAAGGCTGTAACATAACAAAATGTGGAAAAAGTCAAGGGGTCTGAATACTTTCTGAAGGCACTGTATGTAAGGTCCCTCAGTCCAGCAGTAAATTTCAAACACAAATTCAACCACAAAGACCAATGAGGTTTTCCAATGCCTCACAAAGAAGGGCACCTTTTGGCAGATGGGTAAAACAATACAATTGAATATCCCTTTGAGCATGGTGATGGTATTAATTACACTTTGGATGGTGTATCAAGACATTCCAGTCACTACAAAGATACAGGCGTCCTTCGTAACTCAGTTGCCAGAGAGGAAAGAAACCGCTCAGAGATTTCACCATGAGGCCAATGGTGACTTTAAAACAGTTACAGAGATTAATGGTTGTGATAGGGGAGGACTGTGGATGGATCAACAACATTGTAGTTACACCACTAAGCTAAATGACAGAAGGAACCCTGTACAGAATATAAATATTCCAAAACATCCTGTTTGCAATAAGGCACTGAAGTCAAACTGCAAAAATGTGGCAAATATATTAACTTTATGTCCTGAATACAAAGCATTATGCTTGGGGTAAACACAACACATCACTGAGTACCAATCTTCATATTTTCAAGCATGGTAGTGGCCGCATCATGTTATGGGTATGCTTGTCATCGGTAAGGCCTATGGAGTTTTTTAGGATAAAAATGTACGGAATAGAGCTAAGCACAGGCAGAATCCTAGAGGAAATCCTGGTTCAGTCTGCTTTCCAACAGACACTGGCAGACAAATTCACCTTTCAGCAGGACCATAACCTTAAACACAAGGCCAAACATACATTGGAGTTGCTTACCAAGACGACATTGAATGTTCATGAGTGGCCTAGTTACAGTTTTGACTTAAATCAGCTTGAAGATCTATGGCAAGACTTAAAAATGGCTGGCTAGCCATGATCAACAACCAATTTGACAGAGCTTGAATCATTTTTTTAAGAATAATGTGCAAATATTGTACAATCCAGGTGTGCAAAGCGCTTAGAGACTTACCCAGAAAGAGGTAATCGTACCAGAAAGAGTCACAGCTGTAATCGCTGCCAAAGGTGATTCTAACATGTTTTGACTCAGGGGTGTGAATACTTATGTAAATGAGATATTTCTGTATTTCATTTCCTATAAATGTGCAAACATTTTCTAAAAAAAAATGTTTTCACTTTGTCATTATGGGATAGTGTGTGTATATAGGTGAAAGAATAATAATATATAATCCATTTTGATTTCAGGCTGTAACACAACAATATGTGGAATAAGTCAAGGGGTATGAATACTTTCTGAAGGCACTGTATGTCTCCCTGCAGAGGGCACTTGAGGCTGGACAATTTGTTTAGTCAGCTGAGGATGGAACACTGTATAGTGGAGGATTATGAGATTGCTGTATGATTTGTGGGTTGAGTCCTTAGAACATCGGCCCCAACACCCAACACAGACACTGGCTTCTGAAACCTATGAAAGTTCAGGATTTTGATGTCCAACAGCAGGTCCTGCAACAACAAATTGTTAGTCTGCAGTGATTCTGAAGTGGGTTTTTCAATATTCTGATGAAAGATTCCTTTACCTGGTATCTCATAATCAAATGTATGACCTTCTTCCCTGGCCGTTCCTCCTCCGGCAGTGTTGCAACGGTAAAGATTGATTCGGTGATCTTGCGAACTTAGCACAAGTCTTGCAATTATCTCCTAAAATTAAAATAAGCAGCTCCATTTTGAAAACAACCAGATCTTCCCCTTTTTTCCTTCTGTTCAGTGGACAAGCTACAGTGGAGTTAACGTTAGATACTTGCATTCCTTTGGCAAGAACATTACTTGACAAAGTGAAAATACAGGGTATTTCAGTATCCTCCTAGTGAACCTGCATGTTTGTGAGTTCATCTTTGTTAACCTCATTGAGAATTTGCTTTAGTTGCGTGCCAGGGGAGATTTAACTCCCCTAAAAAGCCTCTTCAGTGGTTTGTTTTAACTGGTCAGTAAAGAATCTGTACAGACATTAATAGGAAGAGGCATCGCCTGTGGCCCTTTGAACGCTGCTGCAGAACACAGCTTTGAGGAGCTTCACCTTGAAATTATAAAAGCAGTGAATTATCGCTTTGTTTATCCTACCCTTAAACCTTAAAGTGCATTATCAAAGCGAGAATGCATTGGAAGAGTATTGTTAAGTGTATTCTCAAAATCTTGTAAATCCTCTGAATTTATGTCACTGTGGCCAGGGGACCTCACCCTGCCCTTCTGGTTCCTATTTCAGCTGAGCCCCAGCCCGGGTCTCTGTACCTGTAAAGCAGTGGGGTGTTTTTCCAGCCAGGATTTACAGTGGTGACCCCCCCAGTTTTCAGAGAAGTGCTGATGGCCTTCCCAGGCTCTGGGGAGATGCCCTGAGCATTAGGCCAGGACCCCTTCCTTTGGACCAGTCCCCCCCCCCCCCCTCTAATCAAACTAGGCTGGGCGTGATTTGGTTTTAATATTGGTGGGCCGGATGTAATTGTGTGATTGATGGCCGCTGGTAAAGGGGAGCAGGATGTCAGCCGGGTGAGAACTCCATTAATGGTATTGCTCATTTCTTAGTGGCGGTGGCAAGGCTACAGTGGAGGTCTGTTCACCCTTCCCCCCCCCCCACCCCTGCGCAGTGCATGCCCTCTCAACCTCAGCTGCACAGTGCACATACACAGGGATATGGTCTGGTGTTGGCTTCAATATCTCAATGACACTCACACAGTTGGAGACTACTGTTACCGGGTAAAACATAAAAGCCTATATGTTTTGATAATAAAGTCAATATATTTCTCATCAAGAAGATATTTCACATTACTATTTCTTGTTGCCCCTATTTCACAACAGCTTGTAAATTACCTGCAGTACAAAGGAAGAGCAAAACATCCCATCATCGTGTTTTATAGCCTGTAATTGTGTGGTGGGAGGCTGTGCCCTCCAGTTCTCCTCCTAATGGGTGTTTGTGTGTTGTTTTAGTGGCAGATTTATGGGTGGGAGGGGTGCAGGGCGGTGATTTACGGGTGGCACTGGTTGACTGGCTGGCTAGCTGACTGGCCCTGCTCTGTGTGTTACAGGTGATAGTGCAGTCTGGCCGCCAGCCCAGCGTGCTGCAGAAACTGTGTCAGCTGCCCTTCCAGTACTTCAGCCACCCGCGCCTCATCAAAGTGCTCTTCCCCTCCCTCATCTCAGCCTGCTACAACAACCCCCAGAACAAGGTTATCCTGCAGCAGGAGATGAGCTGTGTGCTACTGGCAACCTTCATACAGGTAACACACACACTGATGTTTTGGCGATGCTTTCATTTTCTGAAGAACTAGCACATTTAATGTATACAGAGCAAATAAATAATAGACCCACAGGTTTTAGTCAGTATTTTTGGTTTAAAGGCCCAGTGCAGTAAAAAAAAATTTTTTTCCTGTATTATATACAGTGCATTCGGAAAGTATTCAGACCCCTTGACTTTTTCCACATTTTGTTACGTTACAGCCTTATTCTAAAATCGATTAAATAAAAACGTTTCCTCATCAATCTACACACAATACCCCATAATGAGAAAGTGAAAACAGCTTCTTTTTTTTGTATTATTTGCTAATGTATTAAAAATGAAAAACAGAAATACCTTATTTACATAAATATTCAGACCCTTTGCTATGAGACTCGAAATTGAGCTCAGGTGCATTCTGTTTCCATTGATCCTTGAGATGTTTCTACAACTTGATTGGAGTCCACCTATGGTACATTCAATTGATTGGACATGATTTGGAAAGGCACACACCTGTGCCCTCAACTAATATTGGCACCCTTGGTAAATATGAGCAAAACGGGCTGTGAATTTTTTTCTTTATTGTTTATCCTCTTGGTCTTTCATTCAAAATATTTTAATTAAAGTAAAATAATTGAAAGAAAAAATAAATTCTTATCGTAAAACAAATATTTGTCTCAAATATACAGTACCAGTCAAAGGTTTGGACACACCTACTCATTCAAGGGTTTTTCTTTATTTTTACAATTTTTTACATTGTAGAATATTATTGAAGACATCAAAACTATGAAATAACACATTTGGAATCATGTAGTAACCAAAAAAGTGTTAAACAAATATTTTACATTTGTGATTCTTCAAATGGCCACCCTTTGCTTTCATGACAGCTATGCACACTCTTGGCATTCTCTCAACCAGCTTCACCTGGAATGCTTTTCCAACAGTCTTGAAGGAGTTCCCACATATGCTGAGCACTTGTTGGCTGCTTTTCCTTCACATCCCAAACCATCTCAAATGGGTTGAGGTCGGGGGATTGTGGAGGCCAGGTCATCTGATGCAGCACTCCATCACCCTCCTTCTTGGTAAAATAGCCCTTACACAGCCTGGAGGTGTGTTGGGTCATTGTCCTGTTGAAAAACAAATGATAGTCCAAACCAGATGGGATGGCGTATCGCTGCAGAATACTGTGGTAGCCATGCTGGTTAAGTGTGCCTTGAATTCTAAATAAATCACTGACAGTGTCACCAGCAAAGCACCCCCACACCATAAAACCTCCTCCTCCATCCTTTACGGTGGGAAATACACATGCGAGATCATCCGTTCACCCACACCGCGTCTCACAAAGCCACAGCAGTTGGAACCAAAAATCTCCAATTTGGACTCCAAACCAAAGGACAATTTCCACCGGCCTAATGTCCATTGCTCATGTTTCTTGGCCCAAGCAGGTCTCTTCTTCTTATTGGTGTCTTTTAGTAGTGGTTTCTTTGCAGTGATTCGACCATGAAGGCCTGATTCACACAGTCTCCTCTGAACAGTTGATGTTGAGATGTGTCTGTTACATGAACTCTGTGAAGGATTTATTTGGTCTGCAATTTCTGAGGCTGGTAAATCTAATGAATGTATCCTCTGCAGCAGAGGTAACTCTGGGTCTTTCATTCCTGTGGCGGTCCTCATGAGAGCAAGTTTCATCATAGCGCTTGATGGTTTTTGCGACTGCACTTGAAGAAACTTTCAAAGTTCTTGAAATGTTCCGTATTGACTGACCTTCATGTCTTAAAGTAATGATGGACTGTTGTTTCTCTTTGCTTATTTGAGCTGTTCTGGCCATAATATGGACTTGGTCTTTTACCAAATAGGGCTATCTTCTGTATACCCCCCTACCTTGTCACAACACAACTAATTGGCTCAAACGCATTAAGAAGGAAATAAATTCCACAAATTAACTTTTAACAAGGCACACCTGTTAATTGAAATGCATTCCAGGTGACTACCTCATGAAGCTGGTTGAGAGAATGGCAAGAGTGTGCAAAGCTTTCATCAAGGCAAAGGGTGGGTATTTGAAGAATTTCAAATATAAAATATACTTTGATTTTTTTTAAACACTTTTTTTGGTTACTACATGATTCCATATGTGTTATTTAATAGTTTTGATGTCTTCAATATTATTCTACAATGTAAAAAACACTAAAAATAAAGAAAAGAATGAGTAGGTGTGTCCAAACGTTTGACTGATACTGTATGTGTGCCACAATTATTGGCACCCCTTCGTTCAATACTTTGTGCAACATCACTTTGCCAAGATAACAGCTCTGAGTCTTCTCCTATAATGTGTTTATTTTATTTTATTTATTTCACCTTTATTTAACCAGGTAAACCAGTTGAGAACAAGTTCTCATTTACAACTGCGACCTGGCCAAGATAAAGCAAAGCAGTGCGATAAAAACAACAACACAGAGTTACATATGGGGTAAAACAAAACAAAGTCAAAAATACAACAGAAATACATATAATATACAGTGTGCAAATTTAGCAAGTTATGGAGGTAAGGCAATAAAATAGGCTATAGTGCAAAATAATTACAATTTAGTATTAACACTGGAATGATGTGCAAGAGATGATGTGCAAATAGAGATACTGGGGTACAAATGAGCAAAATAAATAACAATATAGGGATGAGGTAGTTGGGCGGGCTAATTTCAGATGGGCTGTGTACAGGTGCAGTGATCGGTAAGGTGCTCTGACAACTGATGCTTAAAGTTAGTGAGGGAGATAAGTGTCTCCAGCTTCAGAGATTTTTGCAATTTGTTCCAGTCATTGGCAGCAGAGAACTGGAAGGAATTGCGGCCAAAGGAGGTGTTGGCTTTGGGAATGACCAGTGAGATATACCCGCTGGAGCGCAGACTACGGGTGGGTGTTGCTATGGTGACCAATGAGCTAAGATAAGGCGGGGATTTGCCTAGCAGTGATTTATAGATGGCCTGGAGCCAGTGGGTTTGGCGACGAATATGTAGTGAGGACCAGCCAACAAGAGCGTACAGGTCACAGTGGTGGGTATTATATGGGGCTTTGGAGACAAAACGGATGGCACTGTGATAGACAACATCCAATTTGCTGAGTAGAGTGTTGGAGGCTATTTTGTAAATGACATCGCCGAAGTCAAGGATCGGTAGGATAGTCAGTTTTACGAGGGCATGTTTGGCAGCATGAGTGAAGGAGGCTTTGTTGCGAAATAGGAAACCGATTCTAGATTTAACTTTGGATTGGAGATTCTTAATGTGAGTCTGGAAGGAGAGTTTACAGTCTAACCAGACACCTAGATATTTGTAGTTGTCCACATACTCTAGGTCAGACCCGTCTAGAGTAGTGATTCTAGTCGGGTGGGCGGGTGCAAGCAGCGTTCGGTTGAAGAGCATGCATTTAGTTTTACTAGTGTTTAAGAGCAGTTGGAGGCTACTGAAGGAGTGTTGTATGGAATTGAAGCTCGTTTGGAGGTTTGTTAACACAGTGTCCAATGAAGGGCCAGATGTATACAAAATGGTGTCGTCTGCGTAGAGGTGGATCAGAGAGTCACCAGCAGCAAGAGCGACGTCATTGATATACACAGAGAAAAGAGTTGGCCCAAGAATTGAACCCTGTGGCACCCCCATAGAGACTGCCATAGGTCCAGACAACAGGCCCTCCGATTTGACACATTGAACTCTATCTGAGAAGTAGTTGGTGAACCAGGCGAGGCAGTCATTTGAGAAACCAAGGCTATTTAGTCTGCCAATAAGAATGCGGTGGTTGACAGAGTCGAAAGCCTTGGCCAGGTCAATGAAAACGGCTGCACAGTACTGTCTATTATCGATCGCGGTTATAATATCGTTTAGGACCTTGAGCGTGGCTGAAGTGCACCCATGACCAGCTCGGAAACCGGATTGCATAGCGGAGAAGGTACGGTGGGATTCGAAATGGTCGGTGATCTGTTTGTTGACTTGGCTTTCAAAAACTTTTGGCAGGATGGATATGGGTCTGTAACAGTTTGGATCTAGAGTGTCACCCCCTTTGAAGAGGGGGATGACCGCGGCAGCTTTCCAATCTCTGGGGATCTCAGACGTTACGAAAGAGAGGTTGAACAGGCTAGTAATAGGGTTTGCGACAATTTCGGCGGCTAGTTTTAGAAAGAAAGGGTCCAGATTGTCTAGCCCAGATGATTTGTAGGGGTCCAGATTTTGCAGCTCTTTTAGAACATCAGCTGTCTGGATTTGTGTGAAGGAGAAGCGGGGGGGGGCATGGGCAAGTTGCAGCGGAGGGTGCAGAGCTGGTGGCCGGGGTAGTGGTAGCCAGGTGGAAAGCATGGCCAGCCGTAGCAAAATGCTTGTTGAAATTCTCGATTATTGTAGATTTATCGGTGGTGATAGTGTTTCCTAGCCTCAGTGCAGTGGGCAGCTGGGAGGAAGTGCTCTTATTTTCCATGGACTTTACAGTGTCCCAAAACTTTTTGGAGTTAGTGCTACAGGATGCAAATTTCTGTTTGAAAAAGTTAGCCTTTGCTTTCCTAACTGCTTGTGTATATTGGTTCCTAAGTTGCATATCGCGGGGGCTATTTGATGCTAATGCAGTACGCCACAGGATGTTTTTGTGCTGGTCAAGGGCAGTCAAGTCTGAGGAGAACCAGGGGCTATATCTGTTCTTAGTTCTGTATTTTTTGAATGGGGCATGTCTATTTAAGATTGAGAGGAAATTACTTTTAAAGAACAACCAGGCATCCTCTACTGACGGAATGAGATCTATATCCATCCAGGATACCTGGGCCAGGTCAATTAGGAAGGCCTGCTCGCTGAAGTGTTTTTGGGAGCGTTTGACAGTGATGAGGGGTGGTCGTTTGACCGCGGACCCGTTACGGACGCAGGCAATAAGGCAGTGATCGCTGAGATCCTGGTTGAAGACAGCGGAGGTGTATTTAGAGGGTAAGTTAGTCAGGATGATATCTATGAGGGTACCCATGTTTACGGATTTAGGGTTGTACCTGGTAGGTTCGTTGATAATTTGTGTGAGATTGAGGGCATCTAGTTTAGATTGTAGGATGGCCGGGGTGTTAAGCATATCCCAATTTAGGTCACCAAGCAGTACGAACTCTGAGGATAGATGGGGGGCAATCAATTCACATATGGTGTCCAGGGCACAGCTGGGGGCTGAGGGGGGTCTGTAGCAAGCGGCAACAGTGAGAGATTTATTTCTGGAAAGGTGGATTTTTAGAAGTAGAAGCTCAAACTGTTTGGGCACAGACCTGGATAGTATGATGGAGCTCTGCAGGCTATCTCTACAGTAGATTGCAACTCCACCCCCTTTGGCAGTTCTATCTAGACGGAAAATGTTATAGTTGGGGATGGAAATTTCAGAATTTTTGGTGGCCTTCCTAAGCCAGGATTCAGACACTGCTAGAACATCAGGGTTGGCGGAGTGTGCTAACGCAGTGAATAACTCAAACTTAGGAAGGAGGCTTCTGATATTTATGTGCAGAAAACCAAGACTTTTACGGTTACAGAAGTCAACAAATGATAGCTCCTGGGGAGTAGGAGTGATACTGGGGGCTGCAGGGCCTGGGTTAGCCTCTACATCACCAGAGGAACAGAGGAGGACTAGAATAAGGATACAACTAAAGGCTTTAAGAACTGGTCTTCTAGTGCGTTGGGTACATAGAATAAAGGGGGCAGTTCTCCGGGCGTTGTAGAAAAGATTCAGGGCATTATGTACAGAAAAGGATATGGAAGGATATGAGTACAGTTCAGGTAACCCTAAGCGTTGGGTAACAATGAAAGAGATAGCGTCATTGGAGGCATCGATTGAGCCGGTCTCGGCGTGTATGGGGGGAGGAACAAAGGAACTATATGAGGCAGTTTGAGAGGGACTAGGGGTTCTACATTGAAATTGTATAATAAGAACTAACCCAAACAGCAATAGGCAAGGCATAATTGACATGGGAGAGAGGCATAAAGCAGTCACATGTGTTATTAGAGAGAGCTAAGACACAACTGGAAATAGCGATAACGTTTGGGCTAAGACTAAACGGAATAAACAGGACAGGGTACCGTGCAAAGGAACAGTCCAGCAGGCATCAGCTGTGCAGCTGAGTGATCATAAGGTCCAGTGAACAGCAATATGTGAGTCCGAGAGCAGTTCAAATTGGTGCTTCAGCACAGCTAGCAGGGAGCACAGTTGTAGTTTGCGTGTGCTAGCGGGCCGGGGCTGGCAGATGGATCTTCGTGGTCGTCGCAACGGGAAGCCTGTTGAAACCACATCAGACTATTTCGTCGGCAAACCAGTTGTGTTGGATCGGCGGGGCTCAGTGTCAACACTAGGAGGTCCCGTCCGGTTGACAGAGGTAGATAGCCGGGAGATGGGCCTGAGGCTAGCTCAAGGCTAACTGGTGCTTGCTATAGGGCAATGGTAATGGTAATCAGCCAACAACAGGTTGCAGCTAGCTAGCTGGTTGTGATGATCCGGCGCTAGGGTCCAGTGATTCCGGCAGAAAGTCCAATAAGCTCTGGGTCGATAGCACGCTGGGTCGATAGCACGCTGTGCAGACTGGCCGACGAATTGTCCAGGCTAGAGCTAGAGCTGGCTGGTGGATAGTGTAGGCCACGGACAATGGTGAAGACGCTAACGGTGACTAATAACAGGTAGCCACTATTTTCAGCTTACGGTTCTTGATGAAAGTTATAAAGAAATAATAGAATCCTTTCCACGTTGGGTGAGGCGGGTTGCAGGAAAGTATATTTAGTTAAAGAATGAAAGTAAAAAATTGAGAAATATAGACAAAAAAAACAAGAAACGGGATATTTACACAGGACAAAAAATAAAAGCGACCGCACTGCTACGCCATCTTGGAAGTTAAGTGTAATGTGTAATGAGGTTGGAGAACACATGGCAAGGGATCTGAGATCATTCCTCCATACAGAATCTCTCCAGATCCTTCAGATTCCGAGGTCCACGATTGTGGACTCTCCTCTTCAGCTCATCCCACAGGTTTTCTATGGGGTTTAGGTCAGGGGACTGGGATGGCCATTGCAAAACCTTGATTCTGTGGTCAGTGAACCATTTTTGTGTTGATTTTGAGGTGTGCTTTGGATCATTGTCCTGCTGGAAGATCCAACCATGGCCCAGTTTAAGCTTCCTAGCAGAGGCAGTCAGGTTTTGATTTAATATCTGCTGATACTTGATGGAGTCCATGATACCATGTATCCTAACAAGTTGTCCAGGGCCTTTGGAAGAAAAACAGCCCCACAACATCAAAGATCCACCACCAATACTTCACAGTGGGGATGCCGTACTTTTCTGCATGGCTATCTTTCTGTCTACGCCAAACCCACCTCTGGTGTTTGTTTCCAAAAAGCTCTATTTTGGTCTCATCTGACCATAGAACCCGGTCCCATTGAAAGTTCCAGTAACGTTTGGCAAACTGTAGGCGCTTGAGTTTGTTGTTTGATGACAGCAAAGGCTTTTTTTAATGGCAACCCTCCCAAAAAACTTGTGGTTATGTAGGTGGAGTCTGATCGTAGTTTTTTTAGACTTTTTGATCCCAAAACCAAACTAATCTGCAAAATCCTTGGAGATTATTTTGGCCACTCAAACCATCCTCCTCACTGTGCGTGGGGTCAATATAGACACACGTCCTCTTCCAGGCCGATTGTTAACATCTCCAGTTACTTTAAACTTCTTAATTATTGCCCTGATAGTGGAAATGAGCTATTTTCTTATAGCCATTTCCGGATTTGTGCAGCTCAACAACCTTTTGTCGCACATCATTACTGTTTTCTCTGGTCTTTCCCATAGTGATGGATGACTATGGGAACTTGGCCTGTGTGTCACCTCATATTTATATCCCAGTGAAACAGGAAGTCATGGCTTTACCACTTAAGTGTTCCTAATCGCTCGGGTGAACTTAAAAATGAACTTCAGTTAAATTTAACTCATAAGATGTTTTGGAGAAAAATATTTATTAAATGTATTTCACATTTGTGTCGAGGCACAGATCTGGGGAAGGGTACCAAAACATTTCTGCAGCATTGAAGGTCCCCAAGAACACAGTGGCCTCCATCATTCTTAAATGGAAGAAGTTTGGAACCACCAAGACTCTTCCTAGAGCTGGCCGCCCGGCCAAACTGAGCAATCAGGGGAAAAGGGCCTTGGTCAGGGAGGTGAACAAGAACCCGATGGTAACTCTGACAGAGCTCCAGAGTTCCTCTGTGGAGATGGGAGGACCTTCCAGAAGGACAACCATCTCTGCAGCACTCCACCAATCAGGCCTTTATGGTAAATTGGCCAGACGGAAGCCACTCCTCAGCAAAAGGCACATGACAGCCCGCTTGGAGTTTGCCAAAAGGCACCTAAAGACTCTCAGACAATGAGAAACAAGATTCTCTGGTCTGATGAAACCAAGATTGAACTCTTTGGCCTGAATGCCAAGCGTCACGTCTGGAGGAAACCTGGCACCATCCCTACGGTGAAGCATGGTGGTGGCAGCATCATGTTGTGGGGGTGTTTTTCAGCAGCAGGGACTGGGAGATTAGTCAGGATCGAGGCAAAGATTAATGGAGCAAAGTACAGAGAGATCCTTGATGAAAACCTGCTCCAGCGCGCTCAGGACCTCAGACTGGGGCCAAGGTTCACCTTCCAACAGGACAGCGACCCTAAGTACACAGCCAAGACAATGCAGGAGTGGCTTCGGGAGAAGTCTCTGAATGTCCTTGTGTGGCCCAGCCAGAGGCCGGACTTGAACTCGATCTAACATCTCTGGAGAGACCTGAAAATAGCTGTGCAGCAACGCTCCCCATCCAACCTGACAGAGCTTGAGAGGATCTGCAGAGAAGAATGGGAGAAACTCCCCAAATACTGCTGTGCCAAGTTTGTAGCGTCATACCCAAGAAGACTCAAGGCTGTAATCGCTGCCAAAGGTGCTTCAACAAAGTACTGAGTAAAGGGTCTGAATACTTATGTCAATGTGATATTTCAGTTTTTCATTTTTTTATAAATTTGCAGAAATTACTAAAAACCTGTTTTTGCTTAGTCATTATGGGGTATAGTGTGTAGATTGATGAGGGGGAAAAAACAATTTAATCCATTTTAGAATAAGGCTGTAACGTAACAAAATGTGGAGAAGGTCAAGGGGTCTGAACTTTTTCTGAATGCACTGTATACACTGAGTATACAAAACATTAAGAACACCTGCTCTTTCCGTGACATAGACTGACCAAGTGAAAGCTATGATGCCTTGTTGATGTCAAGCATTGGAGTCAACAAGGGCCAGTATACCTGTGGAATGCTTTCGACACCTTGTAGTGTTCATGCCCCGACGAATTGAGGCTGTTCTGAGGGAAAGGGGGGAAGGGGTCAACTCAATACTAGGAAGGTGTTCTTAATGTTTGGTATACTCTGTGTTTAATACTGTGAAAATTATGATAATGCCCTTTTAGTGTAAGGGCTGCTTGAAAAGACCGCCTGAAATTTCAGCCTGTTTTGGTGGGATGGAATTTGGCCTGCCTGGTGACATCCCCAGGTGGTAAATTAGTTAATAGACCAATAACAAAGAGTTCCAAACACCTCTGCCAATAACTGCTAGTTTTCAGTTTTCCCCTCCCCATTCAGACCACTCCCAGACAGTCCTAGCAACATCCTTGTATGATAAATTGCTCTGAGCTAAGAAGCTATTTTAGTTACTTATTAACCATTTTAATTTAAAACAATCACAGTAAGGTACTTAATTGTTACCCAGAAATGATTTCATATTGAGATCAAAACGGCTGCATTGGACCTTTTAATGTGTCTGTCTCCTTCTGGTGAATATTTAGCAGCTACACAGATGCATGGCTTCCTCAGTGGATTTACCTGCCAGTGTTTTAGCCTCCAGTAAACAGGCTGTCTCCTTCATCTTCTCTGACAACATCGCCTCTCACCGCCCAGCTACCACCATTATTTACATTAAGATTAGCTCGCACTATAGAGGGACAGGCTATTGCCATTTCAGCCAAACAGTGGGAAGATCTATCTATAGATTCCTTTTTCCCTGTGTCATTATTTATTATAGAATTAACCTGAGATTAAGCAAAAACGTGTTTTGCTAGTGCTTTTGCAATTGTAATAGTATTAAAGGGATAGTTCACCCAAATTACAAAATTACATTTTGTTTTCTTAACCTGTAAGCAGTCTATGGACAAGGTATGTCCGCAATCCATGCTTTGGTTTAGTTTCCCTGGCATTGTTTCTAAATGCTAACGTTATAGCATTTGTGGCACACATCCCATTTAAGTCATGGGACCGATATTGGCATTTTTTGCGCATCATGTCCAAATCATTCAGAAGTACAGTACCTAAAATTGATTGTGAAGCTCACCAAAGTCACTTATGGATGATTTGAACATGATGAGCGAAAAATGCTACACTGAACAAAAATATAAACTAGGGCTGTCAAAAATAGCGCGTTAACGACGTTAATTAGTTGTTTGCTGTTAATTACGTCAATTTTTTTAACGCATTTCACGCATGCGCAGTGTGACAAATTATTCAGGTCAGGAAAGTGGTTGGGAGCTAGAGGCGAGATGGAGCAAGGTGAGCAAAGTGGGCCTATTGACGGATTCAAATATAAAAAGAATGATGATGGTACAGTTAACAAGTACAAGGTTATTTGCAAGATTTGTAAGGAGTTTCAATTTCACCGGAGCTGTTCAAGCTTGAAGTACCATGTCAACGCCAAACATGCGTTTGCTGGGCCGTCAGATTCAGCAAGTGGTTTGCGCCAGACCACGCTGAATGTTTGCAGGCAATTAACAAAATCAACCTCAGATAATTTGACCAACACAATAGCAAAATGGATTGCAAAGGATTGTAGACCCATTAGCATTGTAGAAGACTCAGGTTTCCTTGATGTTTTGCAAGTGGCGTCTCAAGACTCATTCTATAAGCCACCGTCAAGAGCCACAGCCAAAGACAAATATTATGGTGTGTAGTATGTTTCAGCTTGATTTAAAACACCATTATTTGGCTGTGTTAATAAACAGACATAATATGAAAATTATGTATCTGTGTCCTGTTATTTATCTTTTGGTATGCATTTCAGAAAAAAAATGGTTAGGATTCAGGTGTAATTGCAAATAGTGATTAATCATGATTAATCCACTGAAAATTCTGATTAATTTGATTAAAAATTTTAATCATTTGACAGCCCTAATATAAACGCAACATGCAACAATTTAAAAGATTTTACTGAGTTACAGTTCATATAAGGAATCAGTCATTTTAAATAAATTAATGCCCTAATCTATGGATTTCACATGACTGGGAATACAGATATGCATCTGTTGGTCACAGATACCTTGAAAAAAAGGTAGGGTTGTGGATCAGAAAACCAGTCAGTTTCTGGTGTGACCACCATTTGCCTCATGCAGCGCGACACATCTCCTTCGCATAGAGTTGATCAGGCTGTTCATAGTGGCCTGTGAAATGTTGTCCCACTCCTCTTCAATGGCTGTGCGGATTTGCTGAATATTGGCGGAAACTGGAACACGCTCTCGTACTCGTTGATCCAGAGGATCCCAAACATGCTCAATGGGTGACATGTCTGGTGAGTATGCAGTCCATGGAAGAACTGGGAAATGTTCAGCTTCCAGGAATTGTGTACAAATCCTTGCGACATGGGGCTGTGCGTTATCATGCGAAAACATGAGGTGATGGCGGCGGATGAATGGCACGACAATGGGCCTCAGGATCTCGTCACGGTATCTCTGTGCATTCAAATTGCCATCGATAAAATGCAATTGTGTTCATTGTCCTTAGCTTATGCCTGCCCATACCATAACCCCACCACCACCATGGGGCACTCTGTTCACAACGTTGACATCAGCAAACTGCTTGCCCACACAACGCCATACATGCTGTCTGCCATCTGCCCGGTATAGTTGAAACTGGGATTCATCCGTGAAGAGCACACTCTCCAGCATGCCAGTGGACATTGAAGGTGAGCATTTGCTTACTGAAGTCGGTTACGACGCCAAACTGCAGTCAGGTCAAGACCCTGGTGAGGATGACGAGCACGCAGATGAGCTTCCCTGAGACAGTTTTTGACAGTTTGTGCAGAAATTATTCGGTTGTGCAAACCCACAGTTTCATCAGCTGTCTGGGTGGCTGGTCTCAGACAATCCCGCAGGTGAAGAAGCCGTATGTTGAAGTCCCTTGGTTAGTGTGGTTACACGTCATCTGCGGTTCTAAGGCCAGTTGGACATGCTGCCAAATTCTCTAAAACAACGTGAGAAATTAACAACGTAGAGAAATTAACATTAAATTCTCTGGCAACAGCTCTGGTGAACATTCCTGCAGTCAGCATGCCAATTGCACGCTCCATCAACTTGTGACATTTGTGGCATTGTGTTGTGTAACAAAACTGCACATTTTAGTGGCCTTTGTCCCCAGCACAAGGTGCACCTGTGTAATGATCATGCTGTTTAATCAGCTTCTTGATATGCCACACCTGTCAGGTGGTTGGATTATCTTGGCAGAGGAGAAATGCTCACTAACAGGGATGTAATTAAATTTTTGCATCTTTTTTTTAAAGTAAGCTTTTTATGGGTATGGAATATTTCTGGGATCTTTTATTTCAGCTCATGAAACATGGGACCAACACTTTCCATGTTGCGTTTATATTTTCGTTCAGTATAATATTGGTCCCATGACTTGAATGGGATTTGTGCCACAAAGGCTAAAACGTTAGCATTTGGAAACGGTGCCAGCCACTGCTAGGGAAACTAAACCAAAGCATGGATTGCTATCATACTATGTACATAGACTGCTTACAGGGTAAGGAAACCAATGTGTCATTTTATACTTTGAGTGAACTATCCCTTTAAAGCTTGTAAAGATGTCACAATATACTAATAATTTCAATCGGAACCATATCCTTAATGTGTGTGTTAACCAGAACAGGGAGACATGCAGGGACTGCAAACAGAGTTCTTTAGGATGTTCAAAACACACCGTTGTCAGGATCAAATCCGGCATCATGAAATCATTGCAAAATGTACGCAAAAGTTTATGTTCAAGTTATCTGTTAGTACCTTTTTAGTTTGGTTAGCTTCAAGCATGATGAGTTATGGTTTGCTTAGATATGGTGGATAAAATGTTCCACGCACAGTTCCATTTCTTCACAGCTGTTGAACAATGGTGTCTGGCCTCTCCCCTACTCCTGTCTTAATACTGTGGATCACTCTGACATATTCCTATTTTATTTCCTCCAGGACGGTGCCTCAAGTAAGAACCATCCAGACAACAGAATGCATCAAGGAGGTAGGTATTCTTCAATGCCATTTTTCACTTTTTATATTGAAAACTGAAAATAATTCGTATTCTGGACCATATTTTTCTTAACAAATGTTAATGATGGATTTGCATTAAAATGTATTAATTTATTTACCAATTATTAAGAAAGGTGACAGTACAGTATTTTCAATTGAAAAATATGAATATACAGTACCAGTCAAAAGTTTGGACACCTACTCATTCAAGGGTTTTTCTTTATTTTTACTTTTTTTATTTTTTTTATTTTTTTACTATTTCCTACATTGTAGAATAATAGTGAAGACATCTAACTATGAAATAACACATATGGAATCATGTAGTATCCAAAAAAGTGTTAAACAAATCCAAATATTTTATATTTGAGATTCTTCAACAGGACAATGACCCAAAACACACCTCCAGGCTGTGTAAGGGCTATTTGACCAAGAAGGAGAGTGATGGAGTGCTGCATCAGATGACCTGGCTTCCACAATCACCCAACCTCAACCCAATTGAGATGATTTGGGATGAGTTGGACCGCAGAGTGAAGGAAAAGCAGCCAACAAGTGCTCAGCATATGTGGGAACTCCTTCAAGACTGTTGGAAAAGCATTCCTCATGAAGCTGGTTGAGAGAATGCCAAGAGTGTGCAAAGCTGTCATCAAGGCAAATGGTGGCTACTTTGAACAATCTCAAATATCAAATATATGTTGATTTGTTTAACACTTTTTTGGTTACTACATGATTCCATATGTGTTATTTCATAGTTTTGATGTCTTCACTATTATTCTACAATGTAGAAAATAAAAAAAAATAAAGAAAAACCCTGGAATGAGTAGGTGTGTCCAAAATGTTGACTGGTACTGCACATAAATTATTTTGGTCAATTGACAATTGTAATTCTTAAATATTAGTGTATAATCCTGAGACATCTTGCTCAGACAAAAAAAATGTCCTATGATTTGTCACCATGCAGACAAAGTCTCTCAGCCACTGGATTACTGTGAGCTGTCCAACCGCTTTCCCAGAGACCAATGGGACTCAGCACTGCAGTTCTTCCTCAAGAAGCAGGAGGACTAATTCAGAGTTGCATGCTGACCTCTAACACACACATACACATGAAAAACACTACAAAATAGAACCAGACACTTCACCCTCCATTCTACACTACATACTTTCCCATTTAGATTTAAGGTCTGCATATGGCCTTATTCTTTAGAAATGCAGTCTCTTAGCCTTGCCAAAACTCTTGAAGTCCTAGAGGTCAAGGGCTGAATCCTAACTTGAGATGCGCATGTCTAACTCAAATGTTTGTGGAAGTCATCCATCGATGTCCATGGGAGATTTGCACGAAAGTTTGAGTTGGAAGTGAGCATCTTGTGTATTCTTCTGTGAGTCACACACAATAATTATGTTCCTTGTCCAACCTAGTCATTTGCTTTTGTATTATGTTTCTATTGTGGATAGAATGACAATGTAACAGAAAAGAGCAGAGATAATCAAAAGCACTCTCATAATGGTTCATTTACTTAACATGTTCATCAATAATACTGTGTACTTCCTGTTAATTCTTTTAATATTTTCATATACAGTTAAGATGTGAATGACCTGATCAGAATGTTTTTTCCCTATAGTTATTTTACAGGCGTTGGGCAGTTTTGTACATCAATATGTAAGTTACATAGCCTGTATGTGTTTATGCTGTACATTTAGATTTGCTCTAGTAGGAGCTGTCCTGATTTCATGTACAAATGTTTCCCTTGTTCTTGCCTTTATGTTGTGAAGAACTTACAAAATATTATAATTTATTGAATAATTTACGTTTTTATCCCATTTATATAAATGATTTATTATTATGCATCATTCATTGTACTCCAGTTCTTTTTATCTAGAGACTGTGCAGCTCACTCATTCAAGTCTCAGTGATTTCCCCTACATCTACTGATCGTCAAGTGACAATTAATTAGAAGTACGGACAGTAGCCTCTCTGCCTGTGTACTTTTCTGCCTGTACAGCACTGTAACATTTGTAATAGTCATTAGTATCCCAGGTGGTATGAGGAGCTGGGTTAAAACAAAATGGCTGGTCCTTCTCTATACCAGACTCAGTTCTGCAGGCCCAGTCAGTGGATATTTTTTGAAAGATATCTCCTAGAAATGAATGCAGGATTTAATCATTTTTTTCTGTATGTAAACCTATACAGGGCTGGGTATATTCTCACAATATTCCCAAGTGTTCATTGTATCTGCTGTTGAGCCCTTCTTACATGCCAAGTGTCTCTTCCCCTTTAATATCAACTGAAAAGGTCTCTCATATTAAGGGATAGTAAATGCATAAGACTCAAACATTTCTCATGCACTTTGCATACTGCAGCTCTACAAGGGCCTGCTGCTTGAAAAGTAGCCTAGGTCTATTATTTCCCTGAAATAGTATAGCCTACCCCTACCCCAAACTGTAGAGTAGCCTAATTATTTATACATCTTAAATGCTTTGAGGTCAGGTTTATGACAACTGATGACATTAATATGGGAAATGTGTCCATTAGATTCCAATCATTTGTTATCGGTTGGGTGAAGTCCTGAAATGCCTCAGGAGGAAATTACAGCATCTATTCTCATTCTGCCACTCAGGGTGCAACAGGGGATTAAGGAATGCTGTTGTATGGGCTAATGATGTCTATCAGATACAGCTAAGTGGCTTATTGTGAAATGTAGATTTCCAAACTATATAATTATGTGATAAAATTGAAATTAGATACAACTGTAAAACCGTGATCTGACGTGCCAATAGCCAAATGGGCATTATGCACTCTATTTATTTGCCAGTTGTCTTGCAACCCCCCTCTTAAATGGCTTTATGGATGAATGAATATAAGTTGTTTAAAGTTAATGACAGAAATATGCAACAATACAACTAACTACATAGTCTACCTAGGCCTATAGCAAGGCTAATGGATAATGGATAAAGCTATTCCTAAGTTTGAGGTTTATGGATGCTGTTATTTTCTGTGTTCTACTGAAAGTTATTAAAACGTATATTCTAGACATTGCCTTCCTTTATATGCAAAACATTTATCAAGTGAATATTAATGTGTATATATTATGTTTAAGGGGGAAATAATTTGATTAGGCCTGTATCTCAAATCTGTGCTTTGTTTCTAAAATGCCTTTTAACCACTATTATGAAATATTTCCAGAGGACAAATTTGGTGGACTATAAGGGCAGAATTTGTAGGCTACTGTTGCATAGCTACAATTATTTACATAAAAGGCTATGTATGGCACGATAGGCCTAATGGCGTTTTGATTTGATGCCAGAAGTCACATATAGAGGCCTAGCTAGGACTACTATGTGCTATGCTGAAAGACTGATCATGTTTCATATCGTGATTAAGAGGTTAGAATGCTATTGCATCCTCTGATCAGAATGTTCATCCTCGACAACAAATTGTTGAGGTCTAGTATCTCATTAGTATCTTGACCTGCACTCCTTGTCCAGAGGCTATCCAGGATTTCGCCTGGAATGAAAATAAACCCAAGACATGCCAGAATGCGTTCGCAGGGTGGTAGTCCCCTTCAGCACGGACTCCAGCGACAGAGAGAGGTGGGTTTGTTGTGGTTCCATTCAATGTATCGTTTGTAGGTGATGCCAAGCGTAGATAAGGAGCCGCCGAGCCCTGTCCTCTGTCTAGACTTGTGACTTTACAAGTGAAACTGGAATGATCACATCGCAAATCCATATATGGAGGACAATTAAATAAACAATATGGTGTCCTCAATTGTAATTAACAAACAGGCCTCAATGTGGATATGCTTGCATTTGACCAGCTATGATGCTGTTGCATTACGATTTTTGAATATGCCATTAAAATGATAGCCTACATCAAATTGGGTTTCTCTAATGACTAAAGCGATTTTTCTGAAAGATTGTGGTCTAAACTGACATCAAACAGTGATTTATTTTGGATGGTTCGACATTCATTTGAGATTCCATAGGCCTATTATAAATCTCAAACGTTTTTCAGCCTGGCTACATAGTTTAGATTAGGCCCATAGGCTTATGGCAAAACCACCATGAAATAGCTGTTTCATAAATTTCAGTTAATATTTGATTGAATTACTGCACATATGAGATTTCACATGCAGAGTTCGTTAGACATGAAACAGTTCATATGGGTTTATTAAGATATCCTACATTTTCTCATAATAAATAACAATAACTTACTTTTTCTTGAAAGGTTCAAACAATCCGTATCCCATCCACTTAATTACAATATTTTACAAGGCTTGATATTAAATCATCTCTAGAAATCATGCACATCTACAGAGACATGGGTCTCCATATGGTCGAAACCCGGCATATGAAACTTACATAGATGAAACTATACAATGATGGTTGGCCACTATGGATAATGTTCTGATATGTTCATTATTACAAATCAGCGGCTCATTATAAAGTTGAATGTTTGTAGATATAATCCTCACGTAGGCTATGTCCAACCATGTAGGTAAGATCCGAGGCTCAGCCTCTGCTTTAGTTATAGCCCTTGGCTGTCACTGGCTGGTCATTTAAAATTAATCCGATCCTGAACAATGCAGACAGGTCCATCCGTGAGCAAATGGTGCATCCTCATAGACAAATCCAGCGTTATTTATCTTTAAATAAGATGAAATCCTTTTCCTCTTAAAGCTGTGAACTGGCCAGTTCTCATGCAGGGCACGCGGGACCATGCTGGGGTTCGAAGCGTCACTGTTGGGCTGGTTTCACGTGTCCACCGGACTTGGTACCATGCTGTTCGGGGTGTCCGGCAACTGCGACGACAAGGAGGTCACATCACTGCCGGAGGAGTTACCCATGGAGCCCGATTCAGAAAAAGACACCTGCGATGGAAACGGGTGTTTTTAATTTGCGTTTTTTCCTCCCAATTTTGCAAAAAAATTGCTTATTGCATATTAATATTGACCCTTATGATTCGATTAAGTACAATGCAGAGATTAGGCCAACATGAATATTTGTATTCATATAAATCGATCAGCGTTCGAATTTGAGGCTGAAAAGCATTAATTTAATTTAGAAACTCTTTGAATAAAGCCGCAGGCTCTAATCTGAATTGAGATTGGTCATTCAGTGATCGAGTGGATGGTGTTTTATTAAACATACATTTATTGCAAAATGCTCTTGTGTGTGTGTGTGTGTGTGCCTACCAACTGCTGGAAGGCGGGCTGGTCCAGGTCACTCTGCAAGGCGAACTCGCTCAGGGCCTTCCAGGGGGGCTGGTAGGTCTGCACCTCTACTGGGTTCCCTTGGACCGTGTTGTCGTGTCGAATTGGACTGCCTGCCACCATAGGCGTACCCGTCAGCCCCTGAAGATTCTACAGAGAAAATGTATCACAACAAACATCTCACCACCATCCATCTGGTTTTCTCAACATTCAAAGTGCATGAAACAGTTCATATGGGTTTATTAAGATATCCTAAATTTTCTCATAATAAATAACAATAACTTACTTTTTCTTGAAAGGTTCAAACAATCCGTATCCCATCCACTTAATTACAATATTTTACAAAGCTTGCTATTAAATCATCTCTAGAAATCATGCACATCTACAGAGACATGGGTCTCCATATGGTCGAAACCCGGCATAGGAAACTTACATAGATGAAACTATACAATGATGGTTGGCCACTATGGATAATGTTCTGATGTGTTCATTATTACAAATCAGCGGCTCATTATAAAGTTGAATGTTTGTAGATATAATCCTCACGTAGGCTATGTCCAACCATGTATTTGCATTACATTTTTTGGCACGCCCAATTAAATTACACCTTTATTTTTAGTAGACCAAAATGTTTCTGTTGCATTGGAATGTCTAAATGAACTTACAATTTTATCGATGTGATGCTGTTGTTGAAGTTGCTTCATGAATATAGTTCTCTTCTTGTCTTTACAACGTTTGTTCTGAAACCAAACTCTGATGACCCTTGGGCTAAGACCGGTCATCTCTACCAATTGCTCTTTCATAAGTGCGTCTGGTCTTGGGTTGGCATTGTAACAGGTCCGAAGGGTATGGAGCTGCTTCTCGTTCAATACTGTTCGCACCCGAGTGGTTTTCTCTGACTGCTTGTGGACATGGTTCCGATGAGGAGGCTGTCGAACTGACACAGGATCTGTGGGACAAATATTCAAAAGGAAATATCTTTGAAAATTGAATTTCCACTGACTGAGCCAAATTTTGAAATGCAACGAAAAGCAAACATGACTGATGATAGATACACTTATTCTCCCTACTTCTCCCTAGCAATTACACAATCAAGGCAGGAGCATAGGAAACTCACACAAAAAAAGGAAAAAACAATCATAAAAAACATCCACATTCCTCAGTGAAGAGGTCCTCAACCAAAAATAATAACGATGATAATAGTGGTAGTCTAATCATATAATTTAGTGATAATTTATAACATTCTTTGGTCAACTTTCATTAAACAGGCTATACAATATATCCCTTCAAATACTAACTCAAAAACATTTTGTGAATTACAAATACAATTTAAAATGCGTCCCACAAAACATTCATTTATTTTCTGTTGTAGAATTATATTTCGATCGAGGTCTTTTTTCTAACTTCACACCTACAAACTCTAAACTTTCAGTATGTGAATTAACAAAAATATATCGACCATTGCAGCATACCCCCTTTACACAGCCAAAATGTTACCTTATTGTTTTCAAAATAAACGAATTTACATACATTTTAGTCTAATAACTTTAACAACTTAATAGATACAAACAACACCCAATATGCTTTAATTTATGTTTAGTCTACCAATGAAAGTAATGTAATAAACCTATAGGCTTAAAAGTCTGCGCACTTGCTCAGTGAAAGGAACATTTTGCAGACAAGTATAATAATAATAACTGTTATTGAATTTATTTGTATTATTATTTTACAATTATTATTATGATATATCCTTTCGTTCTTATTAACGTTGTTATTAATATTATACTCTCGCTATTATTATTACCACCATTATTCGTTCACTGACCTGCAATATGAAAAGACCTGGAGTGAATATTTCCCGGACTAATGGGGCTTCCCGCTGAGGCCCGTTCCATCAGTAAACCGTGATCAGACCGACACAGCAGCTCCTCGTCCCGCAGAGAGAACTCATCCCCCGGCACGAGATGCCTGCTGCACACCGAGCACCTAAAACACTCCATGTGGTAAACGTTGTCACGAGCTCTCATCACCAGATCGCTGCTGCAGAAGCCAATGTTACATTTTGCACATTTAATCCCAAATAATCTGAAAAGGACATAGGAACATTGGTCTCAATACGTTATAATGCATGGGCCTATAGCAGGAATGGCTACAAGCATCTTGGCTCAAATGTATTTCAAGGATAGACATCAGCAACAAAAAATAATCGAAATAGTTTGGGAATTCACACCGTTCTTTCCAAGCATAAAACAGTATGCTCAAATCATAACAAAAATATGCAATTTAGGATATAGGAGACTAATAGCCTACGACACATGTCAACCTTATTTATTTTATATTTACCAAATAAACCAGAAACTTTGACTAGGCTATGCTATTATCTATCATATGGATAATGTTTAGTGTCAACAAGCAGTTTGAACAATTTCTCATACATTTCCACTTCAGTAGGCCTAGCTACAATTTTTTTCCACAATTGGGGCCTTTGGAAATTCCAAAGCTCTGAAATCACGTTAGTGAGGAAAGTTAGTCAACTCCTACCTTACATAATCTCTTTTGCAGTATGTTTTGCCATCTCGGACGAAGCAAGTGCACGTCTCATCCAGGTACTGACTGCATTCCGAGCACTTCAGACACGCAGCATGCCACTCCAGGTCCGGGGCGACCCGCAGAATGTACTGGTCGTGGATCTGACTCCCACAGCCCACACACATTGCGATTCCAGACTTCTCTGTCGAATGCACAGTATATTAATGCTACCACCACGTATACCAATGTAATCACCAGACATACTCGCTAAATCCCCTTATGTTCGTCCAGTGTCCACTCTGCAGCATGCACCCGTGTCGTGTCCTGTTTTGTTATCCTTGTCATTTCCAGAATGAAGGGCCGTAGCCATATACGCGTATAACTGACCTTAGACCTAAAATGTATTCACATCACCATTTTGTTATCAAAATTGACCATTGCCACAAAAAAAATCGTGAAATGTTCCAATAATAGCCAATATTGTTAACGATCAAATACATCTTAAATGTGTCTTGGTCAAAGTAAAAAAAAAAAAAGTGACACAAATGTTTACTTACTTTTGGAATGATCCCCCATATCACCCAAGAAAGAAGAATTTAATATAATATCCACCATACAGGAGGGATAGTGTAGGCCGATAGATCAAGAAATTGAGTGGAAGACTGCCGGATCCCGTCCCTGGCTGACTGCTAACTTCTATTCCTCGAGTGAGAGGTGGGAAGAGAAGAGCAATGTCCCACGCGCAGAGTGACGTCACATGTAAACCTGGACCTCTGTGCGTTTGGGGAGGGGGTAAACTATGCAAAGGCCTTGACTATGAAACAATAGTCTACTAGATCAGTGGTTCTCAACTGGTTTTTGCCTCCGGACCGAAATAGCTGGAAAACGATTTTTAATACTATATTAATAGTAAATGTACCAATTATATGGTAAGGGAACAACAGTCCCAACTTTTAATTGTCAATAATTCCATTTTGCCCATATTCTTGATGAAGAATGTTAAACTCTGGTTTGAGACCAAAAAATCTACAAAATCCGCTAAATAGCGCTGCTAATAACACTATCTATATTGAACCTACTGTGATTGAAGAAAAATAGTTCAGAGGTTAAATTATAAAAAAAACATAGGTTAATTATAATTTCTACACACTTTCTACCTGCTTTTAGTCGTTTAAATTCACGACCCACCAGTTGAGAATCGCTGTAGGCCTGCTTACTAGATCAACATAGACCCCGTCCATCGGTTTTTTTGTGTGTCCAAGCCAGCGTTTACTTTTTTGTTTTAAAAGCATGGAAGTGGAAGAAAATGTCTAAAGGTAATTTAAATAAATTCGAAATGGAGTTTTGTAATTTTCAAGGAAATGTGTTGCATCATATAATGAATGATAAGAAAGACGCAAGACAAAAAGTCTAAATACTAAAAACGGTTTTATTTTCTTAAAAAGATTTTCACACATGTTGAGTGGAAGGTTACATTTTATTGTTATGATTATGCTTCTACACTTATGATTGTGATAATTTTACGGTGATGATAATGATCATGCAGGCCTATTCATTTTTAATATTTTTTATTATCATTCTTATTTTTCCTGGTGACAATACAAAACCGTAAAATATGCATTGCAAAATCATATTGAAAGCCTGGATTTCATAAAGTAAGATTAGACTAGAGACTAGAGAGTTCTATGAGTGAGCCCTCTACTGGAAAAGAAGCAGAAAGGTCATTTTGGAGCAGAAAGGACCATTTTGTTGTTTATGTTTTTAAAAACAGCCAAATTATTTAGTCAATATTATTATTTAGTCAATTTATAAACATCTAACAAAATCCCTCCAAATAATAAATGAAGAAGCTATATTGCCACGCATTTCATGATTGATTAGACTACTCTGAATTTCGTTTTGTAAATGGATAAGTAAAATAACAAGATGTTCCCATTCTGCAATATTGTATAATCCAAATCCAAATTTGATTAGTATTATCCGAATATATAAATCACGAAATCTTTAGATAAGATTGACCCTTTTCAGTATGTTTTAAGACACGTTTTGACATGGAAAATCCAGAAATGTTTTGCATGTGATATAGAGTATTGGTTAAAGTGGGACACGTAGCAAAGTGCACCATTTAAGCTTTGTAATGGATATCTTTAACATAACCAACAATTAATGCATGCGTGTTAATGAGGAAGTATGTGATGATAAACAATGGGTTCAATGGGTATGACTTCATCATTGTGGACACCCGTCTCCAGCAGCCTGGTCTCATAAACTAGAGGTGGCATAGTAAACGTAAATCCAGGACACTCAAATTAGTCTGATATGTTATGTTTGGGATGGTCACATAAGACAGATGGTTACTTAAGGCAAAAACGAAAATAGGGTGGTTAGTCAGGGTGGCTGGGTAGGCATATAGCGCGAACATCTAGCAACCCAAAGGTTGCGAGTACAAATCTCATCACCAACAACTTTAGCTAATTAGCAACTTTTCAACAACATACTTCAACAACTTTTTAGCTACTTTGCAACTACTTAGCATGTTAGATACCCCTTCCCCTAAACCTAACCTTAACCCTTTTAGTTAACCCTTCCCCTAACCTTAACCCTTTTAACTAACCCTTCCCCTTACCCTAACCCTAACCTTAACCCTTTAACCTAACTCCTAAACTTAACCCTAGCCTTAAATCTGATATCAGCTAGCTTGCTAGAGAAAGCTAGTATAGCTGCATTTTACTTCGAAAGATATTAACTCACCAACATTAAAAACCCTAGCTAGCTATATTCATAACCATACAGGTATAGGACCATTTTTGTTTTATTTTGCTGTATTTGACTCTGTTGACAATAACAAAAGGCATTAAAATTGAGCGGTGAGCGGTCTTTCAGGTTCCATTCCACGAAATGTCCAGTAGAGTGTAGTGTTGAGAATGCTGCACTGATAGGCCTAGATCTTCATTTTATTGTATTTATTGACTATACAATTACATATACATCATATAATTATAATCAAGTATGATAATATTAATAATAATAATAAATGATCATTGTTAATGTTCCACAAAAATACCTAAAGAATGTTTTAATAGATTTCATTTGTATGAATAATTTATGTTTATCATTAAAATATTGAAATTACTGATATCCTCTCTAATTTCTCCTTCTTTACAATGAATAATTAAGTGTCCCACTTTGCCAATCAAGGTGTCCCAATTTGCCAGTATCGACTGAAAAAATGTGGTCTCAGGACAATTTGTGTTTGAAGACGTCATCCATCCTGTGTTTAATATTTCTTCCTTTTTTATTTTGTATAGTGTAGTAGAGTAACATGTTGGGGGTTAGAACAATTGGATGATCCTGTAAGGTGTTCCGGAACATTTTCAATACTCACCCTAAATAATTACATTATTCCAAAGAACTGCATGATATGTCATCAGATTATTTGTTTATTTGTTCAAGATGTCTGTATTCAAAAGACCATGTGGCAACATCAACCATTTCCTGAAAATCAAACTGTGAACTTGTATCGAACCTCACCTTTGGCCCATTGCAGTCAAAAATTTGATTTTCCTGTGTTGTGTATATATACACTGCTCAAAAAAATAAAGGGAACACTAAAATAACACATCCTAGATCTGAATGAATGAAATAATCTTATTAAATACTTTTTTCTTTACGTAGTTGAATGTGCTGACAACAAAATCACACAAAAATTATCAATGGAAATCAAATGTATCAACCCATGGAGGTCTGGATTTGGAGTCACCCTCAAAATTAAAGTGGAAAACCACACTACAGGCTGATCCAACTTTGATGTAATGTCCTTAAAACAAGTCAAAATGAGGCTCAGTAGTGTGTGTGGCCTCCACGTGCCTGTATGACCTCCCTACAACGCCTGGGCATGCTCCTGATGAGGTGGCGGATGGTCTCCTGAGGGATCTCCTCCCAGACCTGGACTAAAGCATCCGCCAACTCCTGGACAGTCTGTGGTGCAACGTGGCGTTGGTGGATGGAGCGAGACATGATGTCCCAGATGTGCTCAATTGGATTCAGGTCTGGGGAATGGGCGGGCCAGTCCATAGCATCAATGCCTTCCTCTTGCAGGAACTGCTGACACACTCCAGCCACATGAGGTCTAGCATTGTCTTGCATTAGGAGGAACCCAGGGCCAACCGCACCAGCATATGGTCTCACAAGGGGTCTGAGGATCTCATCTCGGTACCTAATGGCAGTCAGGCTACCTCTGGCGAGCACATGGAGGTCTGTGCGGCCCCCCAAAGAAATGCCACCCCACACCATGACTGACCCACCGCCAAACCGGTCATGCTGGAGGATGTTGCAGGCAGCAGAACGTTCTCCACGGCGACTCCAGACTCTGTCACGTCTGTCACGTGCTCAGTGTGAACCTGCTTTCATCTGTGAACAGCACAGGGCGCGAGTGGTGAATTTGCCAATCTTGGTGCTCTCTGGCAAATGCCAAACGTCCTGCACGGTGTTGGGCTGTAAGCACGACCCCCACCTGTGGACATTGGGCCCTCATACCACCCTCATGGAGTCTGTTTCTGACCGTTTGAGCAGAGACATGCACATTTGTGGCCTGCTGGAGGTCATTTTGCAGGGCTCTGGCAGTGCTCCTCCTGCTCCTCCTTGCACAAAGGCGGAGGTAGCAGTCCTGCTGCTGGGTTGTTACCCTCCTACGGCCTCCTCCACGTCTCCTGATGTACTGGCCTGTCTCCTGGTAGTGCCTCCATGCTCTGGACACTACGCTGACAGACACAGCAAACCTTCTTGCCACAGCTCACATTGATGTGCCATCCTGGATGAGCTGCACTACCTGAGCCACTTGTGTGGGTTGTAGACTCCGTCTCATGCTACCACTAGAGTGAAAGCACCGCCAGCATTCAAAAGTGACCAAAACATCAGCCAGGAAGCATAGGAACTGAGAAGTGGTCTGTGGTCACCACCTGCAGAACCACTCCTTTATTGGGGGTGTCTTGCTAATTGCCTATAATTTCCACCTGTTGTCTATTCCATTTGCACAACAGCATGTGAAATGTATTGTCAATCAGTGTTGCTTCCTAAGTGGACAGTTTGATTTCACAGAAGTGTGATTGACTTGGAGTTACATTGTGTTGTTTAAGTGTTCCCTTACTTTTTTTGAGCAGTGTATTTCCACATTATGAGGTTGGAATAATACTGTGAAAATTATGATAATGCCATTTTAGTGTAAGAGCTGTTTGAAAAGACTGCCTGAAATTTCAATCTGTTTTGGTGGGATGGAGTTTTGGCCACATCACCGGTAAATGAGTTCAAAGACCAATAAGAAAGAGATTTTCAAATCTCTCTGCAAATAACAGCTAGTTTTCAGTTTCCCCCTCCCCACTCAGACCACTCCCAGTCCTATCAAAATTCTTGCTTGAGAAATTGCTCTTTGCTAAGAAGCTCAATTGGTAGAGCATGGCGCTTGTAACGCCAGGGTAGTGGGTTCGATCCCCGGGACCACCCATACGTAAAAATGTATGCACGCATGACTGTAAGTCGCTTTGGATAAAAGCGTCTGCTAATAAATGGCATATTATATTATTATAAGTGCCATGGGATCTTTAGTGACCACAGAGAGTCAGGACCAATTTTGGAGTTGCATAATTAGACTAATGTTTATGATAACATCATTTTGTTTTGTGAATGGCTAC